CATTACTCGTTTGCATGAATGTGCGTATAAAATGAATATTTTACACACTTTAACAAAAAACAAAAAACAGAATATATACACAAAACAGATTCATAATTTTACCAAAGAGGACCATTAATTATTTTGCCTTGGATACACCGCCCTAATTTTCTGTCATAGAATAATATCTTTCCTGCAAATTTGTTTTGAAAATATCTCTGATAAAACTATTTTTGGGGGCAATTCATTTACTGCTAGTTAAACCATATAATAACTAGAGAGATGCTAAAATTGTTAGGATTTGTTCTGATTAATTAATCCGTAAATATTTTCCTCAAAATAATTATTGGATGGAATGTTTGTGTCATATAAATGAACTTCATTCAATACGGTGACCAGCAAAAAAACCTCATTCAATACATCTTCCAGTTACATTTAATGAAAGCCATGGGTCTTTGAAGTAGATAGACATTCAAAATATTCCTTGGACAAATGTTCTCTGTCTTATTGTGAAACTTTCTCCGCCTACCTCATTTCTTTTTATATAGGCACTCGTTAAGTTGATGAATGTTTTTTCTATATAAACCATTTACTCGATTGTATGACAATTCTACCAACGTTTCAAGATGCCATAATAACAAGGAATCTAATTGTAACTACGAGAAATGAAATGATAAGCATCTTTTTGTCGTCACGTTATATCTATCTTGTGTATATATAGTGATGAAAGCCAATTTAACGGAAGGATATATATTAGTAAATAGATGAAGATCCCATTTTACATTATTTTAATAATAATTGTGACATCACAGAAAGAGACCCCTCTATGACGCGTTTGCTCAAGAAAGTGCGACTCATCACTTATCCTACAGACAAAAAAAAACTTGCAACATGGTTATTATTGGTGATCTATCCCACATGAGGTCCCCAAGGAACCTCGAAAACGTGACATGTGTCGTCTGGATCCTCATATTTGACCTCATCGTGGCTGTTGTGAACGCAGACGCGAAGGCCTCCGAATTCTTGACGATGCCTGACCAGACTCCAAAGCCCTAGTTTGTATCATCAACAAGATCATGACACGTTTTCTCATCCTCAACAAGTGTTGACAATTCAACAGACACAACTCTCGATCTTCGTCTTCGGCAGACATAATCTATTCCGGCGGCGAAGGTGGCTCGTTGCCTTCGCTCTTCAGCTCATCATTGCAGAATACCAGTTTTAACCCTCACACTGAAGTTAATAGCTTTATTAATTATAGTTACTTCATTGATCAAAACTCTTTTTTATTCACGTAAAATACAAAATCCTTCACGATATTATAGTAATAAAGTTCAATAGTATAGTGTTCGTACGTAGCTTATACTATAGTTCCCAATTGTCAACAGTGCCAAATTTGTTTCTGTTGATTCATTTTTTAAAAATGGAAATAAAAATGCTATCTTAAGAAAAAAAAAGTCATCTAAAAGTTCTCAACTCATATTTGAAATGTGTTTTTATTTTTTTGTTAAAAAACATTTTCTGTTTAATAAGAAATATATATATCCACTACCAGGTAATTCATGTATTACGAGGGAAATATCATTGATCTTTTTTGGATATCTAACTATTTTATTAAGAAAGCTGATAACTTTTTTGGCAGTCACATTTATCGCCATATCATTGCCTCCTAGGGCAGTGAATTAGTTTGAGAGAGTAATGGCAGCTTTTTTAGTGTGTGTGCGTGTGTTTTTAGTTTTATTTATTTACCTTTTTCCTTATTTGCTGAATTTATTTTCATTTGTCAAATTTACGGACGCTAGCTGGCTATGTCACGAGTGTTTGTCTTTGTTCTGTGATACCTCTCTGAAATAATCTATTCGCATTCTATATAATTAATAAATATAATTCCATATTGGTATATCTATCGGTGTCTTTGTAATACTGTTCTAGCATATCCACGAGGGTTGTCTTGTCCCCATCAAATTTAAATTTAACGGTCTAGAATTAATAATTCTGTTTCAACAATCAACATTGATCTGTCCAAGTACCAAAACGTATATAATTGTGGCTTTCCTTTCATGGAATATTTTACTTTACATTAGGAAATTTGCTTGTATGCGTGGAATACTAAAAACCATTATAACAGAAAATAATGATAACAAAAGTATGAAACTATTGCGGAATGATTATTGTTTTCTTGTCATAGATAAATATCGAGTATATACTAGATACATTTTATTGTCACTAGAAATTCCATATTGTTATAAGAATATTCGTCAACATTTCAGTCTAAAATCTCCTATCGTAAGAAACGTAGGTTATATATATGAGCTAAATGATTTCATCCAACTGATTTTAAGTAAAATGAAGTATCATACCCTTTTTTTTTTGTTTTGGACGAAAAGTCATACCAAATGTAAATTTAAATATGACAGTATGTTTGAGAAATTAGGATAATATGCTTTTCTGATCAATCAATGTCTAAACAACTAGCAATTCCAGACCTAAAATAATTATAAACTGAAAGTTTAAGATTTTCCGTTTTTTTTTCATTAATTAATGAACTGACAATTAAGCTAACGTATACTTTAAAATTGAGGAATTGAGTGCTCTCGAGACAAGGATGGCTTGAGCATATCTAGCTAGATAAGATGAAATAAGAAAAAACCTCTAATAGATATTATCTAGCTATAAAGGCGCCAATATATAAATAAAACTTAAGTAATCCATTGCACATAAAAGGCAGAAGAATGAAAAGCCAAAAATAGAAGAACTCGCATAAATAGTAGTTGGTTTACTTTTTTCAATATATGGCTACGTACTGTTTATACAAAATTGAGTATTTTATTTGTTAAATGAAATAAAAATAGTAATTAAAACAAAAATGGAATTGCAAACCCGCATTTTATGATTTATAAAACATGGCCTGTTTCTGTTTCTGTTGGAGCATCATCTATTTCATGACCAGTAGAGTTTTTAATGTGGAAGCCGAGATAAACCCTATACCGAAATCCAAATTTGAAAGTCGTTTTTTTTTGGGTGTAAATATACATGTACTGACATAGATACATGTGTATGCAGATTATATGAATAGGGCCCAATTGAAGATTGCCCATAAATGAAGTGGACCAACGAGAAAAGAGAAGAAGATATGATAGATATCCCAAAGCTTTCGCAGTATTCATCGATTATTCTCGATGATAATTTCTTCACGGGCATATTTTAATCCTTCACGTCAACGACAAGTCTACCATGCACATGCTTTTTCTTCCTTTTTTTCTCTCTCTAATTTGATATATTTTATGGTTTGAATGTATCTTTATTATTTGAATGTTTTTTTTTGTTAAATTATTATTTGTATGTTTATAAGTTATGTTTTATATTTGTGTGTCGAATATGTATAAATTTTAATTTATTTGATTACGTATGCATTATTTTTTTTGTAAGATCATATGTTTGAAATGATTAATTAAAACATTGTGATGGTTTACATAAAATAGGGAACAATAAATATCTGTTTAGCGTCGTTAGGGTTCTCCGGTTATATATATACTTATATTATATACATGGTGCGGAAATGTTGGATCGAAGACAATTTAGTAGGTGGAGTCAACGTCGCAAAAGTAACAATAAAGACCCAAAAATAAATAGAGTTAACTTATGTCTTCGGTGTTTGTATCACTAGTTCTATAATTAATGAAATAACTAATTAACTACCTTGACGACAAAAAATAAAAGGGATGTCTTCGGAATGTCAACACCGGTTTGCTTTTTCAGTTCAAGAATGTTTGACGATGGTTCGTAGTACGTAAAAAACACTCATATTTTGAAATTCATATTATTTTCTCAAATAATTAGCTACTATCAATACGTAATATTTGCCTACTCAGTTATTTTGTATTAGGTGGCCGAACCACTTTTTAACGAATATGGTAATACGTACATATTAAATTGACAATAATTACAATACCTATTATATATACATTATTAATATGGGATTACGACACCAATTTGAATAATTTTGGAATGTTGGATGCTTCTGTTTGTATTATGCTTTGTTGGAATATTATCCGATCCGTTGACGTATTATTGTAGACAGATATCTCTTGAAATCGGCTCATAACTTGCATGTGCAACGTGGGATATATAATTTATATATGAATCAAATTTTATCAAGAAATTTATTCATTTGTTATGTCAGAAATAATTAATATATATCTCTGCATGCATGTTGGAGTTTCCTAATATTTTTCTTCAAATCCTATATATGGCTAATTTTTTAAAAAACCTTCACATAATACATGCAAATGTATTTCGTAACGCTCAATATTCATTGAAAATCTGTTTTAAAAATGAAATTAACATTTAACCTAAAATATGTATTGGGCGGAGCTAAACAAATAAAATTTGATATCAGAGATTCATAATATCTATCATATTGAGGAGACGATCTTTCAATAGATCATAGAATTAGCTGGTAAAATGGATGTTTTAACATTTAAGCCAAAATGTGTATTGGACGAAGCCGACTCCAAGCCCAAACAAATAAAGTTTGATATTAGAGATTCGTAATAAATAACATATCAAAGAGGTAAAATGGATTGTTTTAACATTTAACCCAAAATATGTATTGGGCAAGGCCGACTCTAAGCCCAAACAAATAAAATTTGATATCAAAGATTCACAATAAATATCATATCGAGGAGTTAATACTTCACACAAATACGAAAGAAAAGTAAAGTGGATTGTTTTAACATTTAACCCAATACATGTATTGGGCAAGGCCGGCTCTCGGCCCAAACAAATCAAACTTGTTATCAAAGATCCACAATATATATCGTTTGGAGAAACTAATATTTCACACAGATAAGGTAGAATAGCTGGTAAAATGGATCGTTTTTTCTGATACAGATCGCTGGTTCGATTCTCAGAACATCCATAATCGACTCTAAAACTAGGTATTAAATAATATAATACTTATATATGGTATCAAATTAATTATATTAGTGAACAAATTACTTTCAATGAAATATATAATTATAGATTATAAAACATTATTAAGGAAAAACTCCAGTTCGAGCCTTCCACCATGACATTAGAAAAGAAAAAAAGCTTAAGAAAACTATAATGAAAAATCCCAAAGCTAAATCCTTACCCTTAATGGTCGAAAACAGCAAAGGAAAGAAAGCTTAAATATATATAGAATAAAATCTCCAAGGAACTTAATAGCATATCTAGACGATGATGATTTGGAGATAGATAGACGATCATCTCAGGCTTTGCCAAATGGATGATTTGGGTGTGAAAACTTCATCTCAGCGTCCAGAGGAGGTCCACCACTACGACCACCACGACCATTGACGGTGCTCACAATTCCTCCATTAACACCAAGAAAGTCCAAAGTCAACCTATCCGCACCTCCCATGCTAAGATTGTTTCCGTAATGAAGGTCGAGAAGGCTAGTGGGCCGGCCTTGTTGATCAGTTGTCGCAGCTAGAGAGTTCATCAGACCTTGAAGGTTTCCATTATCACTATCTCCAAAGTCATTACCGACCACACTTGGAGAAGATGAAGAAGTTAACCCTCTAAGGAAAGCAGATGGGTCGTTGTTATCAGCACCATTGGTGAAAAGAGAAGGAACACCTAACTGATCAGAGTTCTTGGTGTCTGGAAAGTATCCGATGTTGAACAAGTTGTGGCTGGTGTTATCACCGAGGCTGATCAGACCGTGCTGGTTCATGAGACTCTGATTGTTCTGGGCTAACAGTCCTTGGTTCGGAGAGCATTGCATGAGGAAGTTGGTCGGACCGGGATTAGGGTTTGTGGACTGAGGAACGAAGTCGTCGAACTTGTCGGAAGATGAACGGTTCAGATTGTAACCTGCAGCCAGAGGGGTAAAACCGGAGTTTGAATTGTTGCCGAAATGGTTGTGAGAGAGAGCAGAAGAAGCTCCGCCGTAAAAGCCATGTCTGGCACCGCCACCACCAGTAGCTGCCATTGCCGTGAAGCTCACGGTAGGGTTTCTTGCAGACTCCTGTATTAGTGCATCACAGAATGCCCGGTGCGTAATGTAACTGTCTCTCCTGCAATCACACAAATAGTTTCACGATAAGGTCAATGTATGAACAACCACGAAAAAGAAGAAAGATATTTTACCAGAAAAGACATTAAAAAACCCTAGAAATGTAAAGTGTTCATCAACTACTCCTACTATATCACGCTGACCACAATATTCGTTAACTAAACAATGAAACCAACCACTCTTATACACAAAACACAAATATATAAAATCTAATCAATATGTATATTATATGGAGAGAGAAATGGGATGGGCCCACTAGAAGAGGAGTTACATGGAAAGAGGAACCTGCAAAGGTAAGAAGAATACAAAAGTGGGAATGAATGGAAACAAATCCAACTCACATGTGACCAAATTTGGCATCTTTTATTTTCCCTTCTCCTTCACTGTCTTTCTCTCTTTCACTACTCATCAGCAACCAAACAAATAGATTGATAGATCCTATGTGTATATATGCATATATGTTCATGTCCCTATGTAGGAAATATGATGTTCCGTGGCCAATATAGAAGATATCTATATCTATATGCATAGATTTCAGTCACAAGTCAATATATATATATAAAGAGGGTACCACACTCCAGTACTACTATAGCTTGCGCATAGTTAAAAGTTTACTATTCACTGACCGACATGTTTTTTTTTTTTATTTACTTGAATCTCAAGCAGAAGCCTAGAGTACTAACCTTAAAAATCTAGAGCCGACATGTAAAATCCTCAGTAAAAAAAAAAACACACAAGTTCGGAATGGAATCAAGAAAGATAGTTTACCTAGAGAAGATGGTACCACAGTCACATCGATACTCTTTGGTACCACAGGTCTTAGAGTGAGCTTTCCAATCAGATTGAACAGCGTAACGCTTAGAGCATTTGTCGCACTTCCACTTCTTCTCACCGTGCTTCCGATAGTAATGCTTCTTGATTCCGGTGAGGTCTCCGAGAGCACGTGCGGGGTCATGGTGGACGCACGAGGCCTCCGGGCAAAGGTACACCTTCCTCCTCACTTCTTTGTTGGACTTTTGCTTCAGCTTCCATGGAAGGTTGTGTCCCCTCCTGTGAAGCTGCAGATTCTGTTCCCTTTGGAACCCTTTGTTGCACACTTCACATAGGAATCTGTTCGTCGCCATTATCGTCTTTGGAGATAACGCTATCACTTCAGCATCTGGATCTGTTCAATTTTAAAAAAAAATTAATCACAAGCACATCAAATACACTAATTTTCTTAATTGAATTGATCGAATAAATGGAATGAAATCTAATCAAAATTCTTCCATATATAGGAAATGATTAGGGCTCTTATATTTTTTTCCGGCTAATAAGGAAAATTCTTCACTCAGATATATCGGATTTTTTTTTTGGAATTTGGAACACACACGTATTCATAAAAAAAACATATGTAAGAGGTACTTGCTTGGGTTTCCGGGTTGGTTCCTACGCTTCTTGGGTGGTGGAGTAACGGAGGAGTTGGGTTGTTGAATCATGGTCCTCGCAGCCTCTTGACGGTTAAAGTTGTTTGGTCTGGCTCCGGAAGCGGCACCTGAGAGGAGGAAGGTCTGAGCGGAGGATGAAGCAATTGTGTTGTACGATGAAGACATCTTCTCAGTTGGTCGGATTTTGCTAAAGCTACAAAGATCCATAAAGAAAAATAATTAAAAAAAATGAGAGAGAAGATAAAAATCAAAAATGATTCAGAAGAAAACGAAAGCGGGGAATTAGAAGAACAGGAAGAATCCATAGAGATTGACGACATGAAAAAAAAAATTCACTAGAAGACATTTACGAGAACAAAGAGAACAAATATAAATCCAAAGAGTTGGATTTAATTTGTAAGTTTTAGAAAGAAGACATAGTATAAGTTGTTTTTTATTGTACCCTTTTAGTCTTGAGATTCAGAGAAAGAAACCAAGAAGAAAAAGGTCAATAAAAAAGCTAAAACTCAGAGACAGAGAAAGAAACCAAGTAGATGATGATGATAATATTAGAGGATGAAGAACAAGAAGCCACACTTAAATATTTATATAAATATACAAATACACACACCTCAAAAAACCCTATCTCTCTCTTTCTCTCTCTCTTGCTTTGTTTTAATAATTGGGATTGAGTCTTCTGTGAGGTCAAATATTTATAGCTACAGTCCCTTTCTTTCTTTTCTCTAATAAAGGAAAAAATCTAACTTTTAAAAAGAAAATTTTGTACTTAATTACCAATTCATGGTAGTATAATGGTTGAAAGATTCTACTTGAACACATGCATTTTATCTTCCTAATACAAATTTAATAATTGTTGACCACATAAATAATTTAAATTATAGAAATTTCAAATATTAATTTCTATTTCTATTTTTATTTTTTGTTCCCAAATAAAAGAATTGTTTCTATATATTTCTACTTTTTATAATTTATTAGTAGTATTATTTTTTATGCGTATTAAAACCAACTTGTAAATAGATTATAACATGGTTGAGTTTTGAATGTTTGAATGAAATTTTTTATTTTTGCCATTTGCGCGCGGTATAAAATTAATATTTTAAAACATAGTATAGATTTTGATATTATTAAAAAATGAGGTTTGGGTTTACGGTTTGGGTGTCATTGTAAAACGGTGAAATGTGGGCACATGCGGGTGTGGTCAGGGGGCCACCTCAGAGTCTTTCTCGTGTCTCTCTGATGGCTTCAAGACAAAAACCTCTCTCTTTCTCTCCATTTAACTCATGATTTTTGTCTTTAAACTACCAAAGCCTTCACTGTTTTTCTCTAGCTTTTTTTATACCTCGAATACAAGCTTACGTACTAACCATGAGAGCACACTAGAAAATATTACTAAATTTAATTTAGAAAACTAGCAGGTTTTAAATTTCATCCAACGTAAATATAATTTATATTAATTAAATTCTTCTAGTCATAACTTGTTTAACTAGTTTTTACACGATACACTATTGTTCATATACAAAAAAATACAATCATTGTATTTCGTCTATTGCATAATAACTTAATTAAGTATCGTTTTAACACTTGCAAAAATACATTTTCAATGCAAATTTTAAACAAATATTTCATCATCAGATACAAAATTAGGTATTGTATCAACAAAAGGTATAATATTTTTTTAAATATAATTTTCTTATTATATTTTAATTTTTCTTAAAACGACTTATACGAAAACGGTAAAAATCTTTTCTTTTGTCCCCACACATTAATTAAGAAGTCACTCCATGAATGGTAGTCTAATTTAGAGAAAAATTGTTTTTACAAATGAAATATCAAAAAGTAAATTTCTAGAGTAACGGTAAAAATTTTTAATTATTATATTTTGGCGTTACCATTTAGAAATGATATATAATAAAATAATAATTAAATAAAATATTTTCAAATATGAAATAACTGATTAAGATTTCTTAAAGGGAAATACAAACAATTCAACTTAGTTTTACATGTGTCCTCCAGTTATGATGTATTTTAAAGAGTATTAGCTGGAATACTAACAACTCTGACTTTTTTCATTATTTAGTGAAAAACTGCTAATATCCTATTAAATATAATTGTCTATTTATGTATATAACTGTTAAAGTAGTTTTATTTAGAAAAAGTAAATGATAATATTTCAAATGTATATATAAATCCAAATAATAAGATTTTACATTAATAATCAAAGTCTTAATGCGTACACGTGTTCACAAATGTATGACACAAATTATTATATGTTGACTGATTTTACCCAAAAAAAGGAAGGAAAAAAATTGTTGACTGAAAGAAAATGTGTTTATCTCTCTACTAAAACAGGTAAATTACAGATAATATCTTAGTAAATACAATTAATGTTTCAGATTTCTTACCAAATGATTCTCTGTACATTGTGCATGTATTTTGTATTTTTCTAAAATTAGTTTCATAATTTAATTTCTTACAAATATAGATGCCACCACTTGTCTCCAAGAGACATTTGGATTTGGGTCTCCGTGGGTTGCAAAACGTGAAACGGACATTTTTGGGTTTTCGTGAATATTTATCCACACGCGTGCCTTACCTCCACCGTGTGAATCGTGTATTTCACGCGCTAATAGTGCGCGTAGCGCTCTACCGGAATCTGCTAACAACTCAGTTCTTGTTGTTTGTGGTCTAAAATAAGCATAGTGTGATTAAATTAATAGAGATTTATAAGATAACTAAATCTAATATAAGCACATAGTGATTAGTGACACTTTAGTCTTAAAACCAAGAATCCAATTAATTAATAGAGATTTGAAAGATTATTATATCTAATAGAAGCTCATTAGTTACCGTTTTGTATAAAAACCATTAATTAATCCAACTAAATCAATAGAGATTAAAAGCTTATTGTATTTAATATGCACATGTAATAAAATACAATCATAGACGATTTTTCCATTCCATTGCAAAGTGAATAACATAATGTGTTTTTTTTTTAAAAAAAGTGAAGAGTTTTAAAAACAACTAATCTGATAAACCTTAAGAAACAAACAGCATAATAGATAGTTATATAGATAATGATATTTCATTCCCATGTAGCAGAGATCATGGAATTGGCAACACCAGACTGCTCCAAGGTTAAGTTAGATTCATACTCCAATGTCTTTGATTCACCTGGAATCGCTTGTGTTAGCTTCAATGGCTTCTTCCTCTCTGATTCCTCAAGCTGAGAATAGCAGAATGACCAGAGAAGCTACAGTGGAGACAGCAACAACATCTCAGAAATTCTCAGACAAATATTTTTTTTAAAAAAAAGACAAGAATCAATGTTGTTTGTTTCTTAGGATTTGCAGACCTGAATTGTGTCTGTTTTGAGGAAATTTCTCTGGAGTCTTTGTCCGTTGGGTAAACGGATCCCAACTCTGCATTGTAGGCTGCGATCACCTCCCTTTGGTTCTTCTGGCAGTGGTGGGAATGTTGGCAGCACCGTGGATGTAACTGCTTCAACCGCTACTTCTTCAGGCGTCATTGTTGATTGATCATCTGAAGACTCTTTCATGCTGTTATCTTCCAAGGAAGCAGCTAATGCTCGTTGCAGTTCTTCTTCTTCTTCATCTTTTGCAACATCCTCTAAAGGAATAAGTCAGATCAATCTTTTTTTCCCAACAGACTAGACATTGAAGTTGCGGAAAAGTTTTCAAACTAACCTTTGGGTTTGGAATGAGGAGCCAATGAGAAGCTGCCTCTTGGCCGCTTCTTTGAGAGAGAAGCAAAGTGTTCACGAGGACCACCATCCATGAACGGCACTAAATCCTCCAGCAGATTCTCGGGTTCAACCATTCCGCTCCAGATTCTCATCCTTTGACCAGTGGTTGGATCAATTACAAGCACCACGGGAATAGATTCGAGCTTGTAGTATGTGCAAACCTTTCTTCCTTCCGTGGTATCATCATAGACCTAGCACCAGAAAAGGCAGGCTTTTAACCAACTCCGTAAAGAGAATTTCAGATTAAGCAAGCAGAAGTTCTATTTTAAACCTGCCAGAAGATGAAGTTGGCTTTGATAGTCTGAGAAACAGCATCATTCGCCCAAGTATCTCGATTTAGCTATGAGAAAGAAACATAAAAAAGTTGGGATGTGAGTGGGTGTACAATTCCATTTTACTCATCAGAACTGAAACAAAACACCAAATGGAAGAGAAGATAAACAGATCTAGTTTTCATTCCGAACTAACCAAAGCCGAAACAAACAAGGAGGCGATAAGACCGCTGTTTCTAAGAAAAGTCCTTCAAATAGAAGGTATATTTTCTTAAAAAAAAACAAATGTCAACCGAAACAGAAATTAAAACGAAAAAATTTGAACTAAAACCTAACCAAAAACAGATTAAGCCCCTAGATGTGTGACTATCATCAAAGGTAGAGTTTTAAAGAAATCCATAAAAAAGGAAATCATAGAGAGTAACCATATGAGAGCTGAATTCCGTGGAAGATTGGAGGTTGACGAGAAGCCATTTATCCTGGGAAGACGAAGTAGCTTTTGCCTGAACAAAAAACCATACAGAGACGTTTAGAGTAAGAAAGCAAACAAGCAATTAGCCAAACAAGAAACTGTGTAGATAACCTGTTCAAAAGAGCCATGGAACATCAGATGAAAAGGAGGACGGTACAACGAGGCCAGGCTGTCCCGAGGAGCGGATGCTGACTCTGATGCGGAGGCAGAGGCAGAGGCTGAGGCTGAGGCAGAGGAATCACCCTCATCTGGTTCCCAAATTCCAGGGCTTTTTGGCTCTTCACTGAAGTTACGGAAAGCAATCAAAGAATTTGGTTCAGGCTGAGAGTTTCCCACCCTCATAGTCCTAATCACAAGTGCAAGTGAATTATGAGTTACATCCCGCATGTACTATTAGAAGAGAGTATCATCAGCATAAAACAACAACCGAGATCTATACAGAAAAGCGCATGATTAACATGTCAGAGATGCTGACTCTAATGGGCTTATGACATACGAAAACAAAACTTTTAGTGGCACGTGGTTACACTTCTACCTGTGTTAGACAGTTAATGTATTTATGAATAGCTTCCCTGGATAAGTTGTCTTTGCAAATGCTATCTCAGACCCCTGAAACTTAGAATTTTTCGTGCATTTCTCCCTTATCTATTGAATTAGTATAGGCAAAGGAAGGAACTGAACCAACATGAAGTTGAAAGTCTGACACATAGTCAACTAGAGCAACCTTAACTATAAGATCATAAGTGCCTTGAGGATGAAAGACTAAACTCTATGCTGCGGTTTCAGCTGGCTGTTTGGCAGAAGCAATTGGTTGTAACATGCTCCCCAACACCTGAGATCCAACAGAGCCAGAACCTGACGCTGCTAGCAACTTACTAGAGCCAGCTGGATATTCAACCAGGTCTGATTTGAGTTAACAGCAGAATCAACTAAACCTAGATAAGAATCGTAACTAGTGCTAACTGAAACAATAGTTAATCCAAGAACTACACTTGGATGAAGACCAGCAGAGACATCAACCAACCCCTGAGAGTCAAGAAATTAAAGAAGGCAGCTCCTAAATTTCGAGGAACCTATATTGTTAGTTGTTACTAATTCCCGGTAAACCCTAAGTAATGACAGCCAGTGAAGGAAAATCTTTAACCTACAATCTGCTGACCTCAGAGGCAGCTCTGAGGATAAATCTTCAACCTAGAGATACATTCAGGAATTAAGAAAACATAAAAAAAAAGGAGCGAAAAAGTGACTAACCCATAATACACTGATTCACCATAAAGAGTCTCCCTCACAACAGGTAAAGGAGCACGGACTTCATCTACATCGTTCTGCATTATCCTTTCGTTTCCTGTGCCTGTAGCCGCCCTATGAAATATAACAGAAAACCATCAAGTTAAACAAACCAAAATGAATAATACTTTACAGTGTTATAACATTATCATACCCCCAAGATTGTGCAGCCACGTGATCGTTAGACGCTGGCTGAGTATGTGTACCAGATGGAAGCATACCACCTTCGTTTCCAATGTAAAAAAGCTGAATAGCTTCCTCAAGTTTCCAGCTTGTCGCCTGTTGATAGAAAAATACTACTATGTTAGTAATTTTACACAAGTGAGGAGATCATAACAAACTATCAACAGAAGAGTGGTGAATCGCAAACAACAACATTATACGCTAAACAGAACTTACAAAAACAGCTAAAATGAGTTACTAACAAGTCATAAGAAGAACAACGATCATACAAAAAAATGGCAAGTTAATCTCATCACATAAACCCTCAATCACAATGAAGACCAAATCAGGCTACTCTCAAATCACAGAGATCTCGTTACACGAAAGGCCAGATCAACCGAGAAATCACCAATAAAAATAAAACTCTCGGCGTCTAATCCCAATCTAGGGTTTCAAGTCGACATCCCAAAATGTCTTCAACAAAATGTCCCTAAGCTGAAATAAACATACACTTTAGACCCAAAATCAGAAACTGAATCAAGGTTAAGCTCACTCAGACCAATCCATCAGTTGACTAAAAAGCACAGCTTAGAACAAAACAAATCTACCAGTTTCGAGCAATAAACCTGTAAGAACTGTCGAGCAGTTTCAGCGGTCTGTCCGACGGCGATTTCAAGGAAAGAAGAGACTAATCTCTGTTGGTCACCCGAAGACAACATTCCCTCCATTGTTAAGACCACAACCCTAAAAAACCTCGAATTTCTGAGAAGAAAAAAACGAAATTTGTCTGAGTGATCTAAGAAAAATAAAAAAGGCAAAAAGCCCAGAAATTATAGCAACGAATAGGAGAACTTGCCCAGAAGATGAGGAGGATTAAATAAGGAACTGAAGAGTCGAATCCTGCGGGAGGAGATGAAGGAACGACGACGACATACCTATGCAAAAAATTTGATCTTACTGCCAAAAATATCTCTCTCGCTCGGATTTGCTCACCGGACCAAAAAGACGATTATAACCCTAGGTCGTGCTAGGAAGTGGGGTTGTTTATGACATTTCAATAACACATACGCATGTGAAATTGGTCCATCATTGAGTCTTATTTCCCAGATTATTAATCGAAGTCCCTATCATTAAAGTTGCTATAGACTTAGGGCATCCGCAGTGGTGTATCCTTGCGGGTGTAAACATTATTTTAAAATACAGAAATAATGTAAAAGTTGTCTCTTTCTTTACACCCGGGTGTAAGTTTACACTCGGGTGTAAGCCACTCTATCTCTCTCTCTCTCTTTCTTTCTCTCTCTCTTTTCTCTCTCACTTTAAATTATAATAATAAAAAAAATCTTACACCCCTCCCTCACACTTACACCACTGCGGATGGTCTTACCATATCTAATACTACTATTTAAGTTAAGAGTTATTATAAGAAAGGAAAACGTTTTCTTAATTGTCAATTGACATTTTTCAAATTCTTGCTGCAGCACAAACAAGACACATGAATCAACTTTTTCTTAAATTCTCAAAAGAATATTATCACTATCAATGATTTTTAGAGGCAAATTGGCCTGGAAAGTTTAAAAGAAGTATGAAAAAAATCTTTCTAACAATCTTGTTTTCGTCTGTGCGCTCTTTAAGAGAGTGAATGAACAAAGATCCTCATGCTGGCTTTGATCTCTCTCGCGGTGGAATTCGCATCCATGACTTCATTGACTCATAGACTGTGAATCCAATCGCAACCGATGGAACAATCTAGCAAACAAAGACAATCAATGAGTCATAACTATGGGAAAAAAGTAAGATCTTGGAAACATCGTCTCTTTATCTGATTTACCTTAATGTAGTTGATGCTTAAACCAGCAAACAACTGTCTCCAACCCTGAGTTCGAACAATCGTGTTAAGCCCATCAAATGTGTTCTTGTAACGCTTGTTGTTGCCTTCACTCGTCAAAGGTTGCAGATTCTCTACCTGTGGTCACAAGAAACACCAAATAGGTTCTGAATTCTGAAATGTTGCAAAATTCGAAATCTTGTTTCTGGTTTGTTTGTTTTTACCTGCATTTGTCTCCTAACAACATCCAATGGGTAAGTGATGGTCTGGCCAAATAAACCAGCTAAAGCTCCACAAGGTAGATGCATTCGAACAGAGTTTTGATGCTCTTCAGGAACATGTCTTTTCAATTCCTCATATATGTAGAACTTAAGGCCCGCGTAAGGAAGGATGCCAATCAGCGTTGGCCCTGCAGAGACACAGGAAAGCTCCAACCTTTGTTAATCATCTTCAAATCCAAATTAGGGAAAGTCCACACACAAAGATAGATTTTAAGAGTTAGTTTGTTACTAAACTAACTCAACCAAGATTAGCCTAAGAAATTCTTTATATAATTGGTATTACTTTGATGCCAACCGTTTATAGCTAAGATGAAAAGACTTCCTCCATTAATTTGATATTCACTTTAAACATTAATGTAGGCACATTTTATCAGCTTTACCTATACCACGATATAGCCCGCGTGGTCCCCCTTCTTTATAGGCCATTGTAAGCACCTCTTTTATGCCTGAATAAGTAGGTTGACGGTAAAATCCATTCGCACCACCTCGGAGACTCTGTCTTGTGTCAGAAACCTAAAATGCAAATAACAACGCATAAGAGGATAAGCAAAAAGATATTCTTTATTTTCAGTTAAGCAACAATAAAAGTCTATCAGAGAAAGGTATTCAAAATCACCAACCTGGTAAGCTAGCTTAGTACGAGCTAAATCAAGGGGATATGTGCACAAAACTGCTGTTCCACCTGCAGCTGAACCAGCCACAAGATCAACAATTGGACCAGAACCTAAGGGAAGATTTTTTTCCAAAATCCAGTCACGATAAACTTCATACGTCATGTAATGAAGGGCAGCATATGGAATAATCCGAATAACACTCGCCCCATTTCCTCTGCAAGAGTTATGCACATCACAAGAATTTAGTAAAAGTGATTACACTAAGCTGCAAAATGAGAGTCAAACCGCTAGGTACTTACTTATAGAATCCGAGAGGACCATCAAATTGTAACACCTTCTTAAGTGACTGGGACACACCAAGGGTCCTAAAGTCGTTTGTTCTAGTCTGGTGTTGAAAGCACAGGTATACAATCAATAGATGGTAAGAAAAATCTTTACTAAAGATCGAAGAACAGCAAAGAAAATATCTTAGAATATGATCAAAACACTACCAAACATCAAACCAATACCATTTAGATATAATCAGAGCCATTGAAACATAATAAGATCAAGAGAATCACCTGCAATAGAATTTTGATCCTTTCCAAAGGTGCAACAGCAGTCTTAGCAATTGCACCAGCAGCTCCTCCAGCGATAAGAGTTTTTGCAAGCACAGGCAATGTATCCACAAGGCTCATCACATCAGCCGAGAGTGTAGAGCCTTGTGACGAACCCATCTCAATTCAACTAAGTTAAATTCGGAAAGTTCTCTCCTTTTATCTGAAAGAACACCTTATCCCATCTAAATCTAGGGTTTACGTCGGACGCAGATTTCTTAATGAAATCCAAACTTGAGAACCTGAGAAATCCCAGAAAAGAGTACGACGAGACGCTTAAAAGCAGATTCTCCTCCTCTCTTACAGCAATATTCATTAACAGCCTCAATGAAACACTCTTCGATGATCAACCACACTCGAAGATCAAATCATTTCCGTTAGCTCAATCGCAAAAAAACTAGTCTTTAATCTGACAGATCCAGATACTATTCCACAGCCGAAAACAATAACAATCTCGATCGATTGAGCAAACGAACAAAAACCCTTTTGAGATCAATCAAAATCGATACCTCTTCAGATCCAAACGAAACAATCAATCGGAATATTCGTCGAGGAGAGACAAATGAAACCCTACCGCTAATTCACGAACAGGAACCAAAATTTCTGTGGCGAGAGATATGACACGAAGTTATCGGAGAAGATTCAGGAAATTTATTCGGGTGACGAAGAGCGACTAGAGGCTCGTCGTAAAATTCTGAGAGAAGGAATAAAGAAGACGAGAAGGTTTTCGATTCAAAACTTCGGTCACCTGCTCTGTTTACTCATTGGTCGCGCATTTTCACAGGCTTGAAGAAACAGAGATACCTTTTTTAGGTAATGATTCCATGTGGCATGGTGCACCCAAAAGACGGTGGACCTCTTAAAAAATACATATTCAGTGGTTGGTTAGCCCAAACCACATTGAACCAGCAATTGTAACTTGGGTCGAAAATTTATCAAAAGAAATAATTATATAATCATAAAAAAAAACAATACACAATTTGGTAGTAGAAATTACAAAACATTACAACAAATTGAATCAACAAATAAATGTAACAAACAATAAAATGCAACGCATGCATGTGTTAATTAACAAAGCTGCATATCTTTCTGATTTCTCCGGTAGAGCCGGTAAGAGGTTCAATATCACCCATCTTGATCATGGCTGTTGCGAAATCTGCAGCGAATTTTGACCGGTTCCTGCTATATTCCGACACAATGCCGTCAGTTGATGCACCGGATCCGAACAAAACTTGATCAGTTACTAAAAGTCCTTTCTTTTGCATTAGGTTCTTGTAGTAATTGTTGTCGAAAGAATTAGGTGTCACGAGATCCAATGCTGCCAGATTCCCATCACTTCCCACGGTTGGGCATCGACGTTTGCGTGTGCTGGCAAATCCTGCGTCGATGTCGCTTGAGTTCTCGTAAAGCCTGTCCCGAAATAAGAAGCATTGAGATTGTCCTATGGTGTGAGCTCCTGAATAGTTTTCGCGCAAACATTATAAGAAGATCGTTTAGAAATATGCATAGACACTATATAAAACTAGTAAAAAAGCAATTAGCATAGCAATTCGCACATTTTATGAAAATTTAGATCTCAAATTTAAACTTTATATGTAAAAATATGATTTTTAGACCGACCTGATAGAGCGACAAGGTCTCTAGTGTTAAGGCCTTTCTTGCTGAAGAGACCAGAGCGTTGGTCAAGGTTATCTTTAAAGCCAGGAAGTTCACCACTATTTGCTAGAGCCTTAAATGCGGTCGTCGAATCTCTCCTTCCGACTTTCACCGCCCATTTTGGACCTCCCACCTAAATATTGGAGTTGGGCCAATTGTTATACATGCATGGTTTATAGTACAAAGGATATTAGGTGTATTCATATATAATCTCAAACATACGTATTCAGAAGCATCTCTTGCCGCAACCGGCGCAAGAAACAATGCCCGGACAAACTTTCTCGACTTAAGATTTGGCTTTATCTATGACTTCAAAACCTCTTACTGATTTGAAGTTTGGCAATGCATCTCGCTCACTCTCTATCTTTGATGTTCCCTCGAGCAATATCGAAGCGTCACAACCCTAATTAAACATACACAAAACTATTATAAAATGATTTTGTAAGGTTTTTTAAAACTTTGAAAGAATAAAAACTTACATGAACAAAACAGTCGTGGAAGTGCATGCGGATTAGGGACGCGGCCATTCGTCTCTCACGAGCGATTGCGGTTCTAATGGAGGATCTGATCTTGGAAAGAGCGCTCGGACACGATTGATCGTAAAATGTTGGAGAAAGTTGGGCTTGACAAATCGAGAACGTGAGGATGATGCTTACCATCATTAGCACAAACCTTAGTGAAAATCTCTCCATATTCTTTCGTAAAACAAAATAGTCTTCTTTTTTTTAATTGTAAAGATTAACCTTTTTTTTTGTGTGTGTGTGCAAAGATTAATCTTTTTTCTTGTTGATGAATTATCGATATAGTAAGAATGATATTTGAGGAGATTGATGTTGAATGTTACAAACCCTAAGGGGTTTATATAATCATATATACGTGCATGAAAGTTTTCACGCGGTGTCGGCGTGTCGCTGTCCAAGGTTGGAGACTGTAATTTAATATACGTATGTAAATCTATTAATATCTTGGATTAAAATAAATAAGTTGTTGGGCTCTGAGTCTCTGACTTTGCATTTTGGTCAATTGTCAAATTGTTAACTTATTAAAAGATGTAACCTAAAGGATTGAGAAGACAAACAAGAACATCATTAGTAAGCGCTTAATTAGTTTATTCTTATAATAATACAGGTTGAAGTTCGGATCCGAACAAAAAATTGGAAAGATCGACGTAATCAGGATCTGAAAGGAATAGTTGACGAACATAAAATTGGAAAGTCAAAATTTAACATACAATAACAAAAACAAATGCTCGGAAGTTTTTGATAAAACAAATATATATTAAATTTCATTTCGTAGCTAAACCATATTGTTCTCAAAACGAGTGAAAGATCCGTTTGAAACACGTTATGAATTTGGTTGGTGGCCAAAATTTTAATCTATGTGATTTATTTAGCAAATAAAATTGGAATTGAGCTATATATTGTGAAAATGAAAAAGAGTGATTAATTAGACGACTTGCAATGTCCCTTAGCTTTTACGATGACAATTCTTAGAGCTATGACTATGCATGGTCAATGGCGATAGAAATTATATGTTTCTTTTCTTTCCTTTTTTTTCTTTAAAGATCGCATAATCCAGTCTTTTCGGGTTAACACCGATAACATTAAAATTCATTTCTTAATCCACTCCTCAAAATTTGATTCACCGCTATAGTTTAATTTATAATGTTATATTTGTTAGGAATTTCGACGTACCGCGCGCTATGGACGGTCATTACTGTGCGTAGTCGCGTTTAACCTTTTTGCAGTGTTTTGCATCTCATATGTAGTAGTTGTATTTCCCTAATTAGAATCGAATCATTCATCCTTTAAACGATTTACACATAAAAACCTGTAATTTCATTTGTTTTCTTAGTTCATTTTATTACATGGTGACTCATTATGTTCGAACCATCGAAAAAACCATCTTTTAGCATATATACAACTGGAGCATTCAATAGGTCCACAGTTCAATTAAAGAACAAAATTTTAAATCTTTAACAAAATCTTCTAAAATTTCAAACATATTTTCTTTTTAAAGTTTGCGTATGATTACAAATAGTTTGAATTGAAACAGTTATGTCATTGAGTCACTGAAATGTTTATGGGTAGACACCGATTAACTATTAGAAGAATATCATAGTATAGCATATCAAAAAATTAAAAAAAAAAACATGACAGTATACATGTATGCATACGTATTGGCTAATATTGCTATCTATATGGTTATTTTATTTTATCGGGATCAAAACATAACACAATGGAGATTTTAAAACGCAAACTATAAAATTTAACGGGGTCGAACCAACTATATATGTTTAAAAACATTTTTTCAATAAACTAAAAAGTATATTGTTTTTCTATTTTAAGGGCGTTATTAGCATCCTATCTCTTCTTCAAACATAGGTCCCGCCTAGATGATTATGTATTTATGTGTTTCTTTCGTAGTTTCGTTTCATTTTCTTTTGAAGAAAAGGTCAATTCAACTATATATGTTCGAATGTTACTAGACGAGTGCATGCATGGATCCAAACTGTCTTACATGATCTAATTAGACTAAAAGCTGTCCTCCAATGAAATTCAGACCAAATGACGTGTGATTATATTAGGTCAAATTAAAATCTTAAAATATTTGTTATACATGTTCTTTAAAAAATGAAGAAAACTATTATCAACAGTTGAGGCTAGTTAGTTTTTTTTTTATCCTCTTTCTTTTTGTTACCATCTGAGGTTAATTAGTAGGCTAAAATTATTTGTACCCCTATATATCCACACTTTCAGACTTAATTAACTCTTAAGTTGGGCTGAATTGAAAGTAACTTCATAATAAATTTTAGTACGTAAGATATACATATATTTTGCAAAGAATAAAATTTATCTACCGAACAAACTTACCCAAAGAGGAATGCAAAGCCGAGCAAGTTAAGAAGCACTTGTGGTTACGGTATGGAATGCGACATCACACTATCCTTATCAAAGATTCTTCTTTCACTACTTTATCAAAGTCAAAAGTCAATTTTCAAAATTTCGCGTAAGCGTAACATTTTTATTTAGTAAGTTATGGTTTGGTCAACGTAGGCCAGCTTCAATAAGTTCTAAATACTTTTTTAAAAAAATTATAAATACTTTAATTTCAGTTTTTTCGTTAATGCAAATGTTAAGTAATTGCAAGAGTTGAAAATAGAAGGCGAAATAATCAAATACCCAGAATAACACTCTTTTGTTGAAAACGAATATCTCTAAAATCAATTATATAAGATTGTTCAATCCAATTATATAAGATTGTTCAATCCAATATAAGATTTAGTTCTTTATCAAAGTAAAATTTTATGAGAGTTTAATATTAATCACATAAACTAATTAAAATTTGAGATTGCTAAATCCAATATGAGAATGTAATCATTTGTATTAAAAATTTCCACTCTTAATCGCAATAATCTATATATAATAGCAATCTAATAAATACCATTTGCACATCTGAACGGTTGCGTCTTTTTATCGCAACTTTTCGTTAATGTTTTTATTAATTAAAATATATATTTTACGATTACGTTTTTTTTTTATAAATTGCATTTTGAATGTTTTTTACGGTTGCGTCTTTTATTGTAACTCTTCATAAACAGTTGAAACCGCTTATTCGAATCATTGCAATATTTAGTTTATTTTATGAACAAATGCAACCTTTGGTTTATATATTTAGTTTATTTCACGAACAATTGCAATTTTTGGTTTATTTTATAAATAGCTATAACATTTAATTATCTACCGCCGCGTCTCTCGGTGTAACTTTTCATAAATTATTATTTTAATTCTTAATTTTTAATTACTAAAATGTATTTAAATGAGATTGTAACTATTTAATTGAACTATTTCAACATTTGGATTATTTGACGAATTATTGCAACTTTTGGTTTTGTGTTACGAATCATTGTTATCTTTCGTATATTTGATGAACTATTGCAACATTTGGTATAATTGACGAACCGTTGCAGTTTTTGGAATATTTGATATCTACGGTTGCGTTTCTCGGATAAGTTCGTCATATTTTTAAAAAATATTTAAATACTAAAATATATTTAAATAAATTGTTGTTACCGTTTAATTTAACACAATAGCATTTGGTTTATTTGACGTTGAACGTTTTGGCTTATTTATCAAACCATTGTAATATTTGGTTGATTAGTTTATGTTTTTTGCACTTGGGAATAGTTTTTTAGTTACAAATTATTGTTTTTCTAATATTAATATACTTAATAAATGCTTGTGAGGGTTTTCTTTATCATAATTTTTGTAAAATATATATTGATTTGTTATTAAAAAAGTTCAAAATTATTACAATTCATTATGATTTTTTTCGTTTGATATTTTTTTAAATGATTTTTGAAATATATGTCGCGGGGGTCCTGAGTCCTAGTAAAAATAATTATGTAGACAAAAAATATGGGATGTTATATTAAAGGAGAAAAGGCAACTATTGGAAAAGGTCGTCGGGTGGTGTCCACGCGCTCCCGCAGCAAAAAGTGACCACGATTGATTAATTCGCTCCTATATATAAAGACTTCTTTCGTCACATTTCTAAAACTCACACCAAGCTTCTTCTATTCGTCAATCATCACTTCTCAATTAGCTCTTTACAAAACTGTTTTATTACTTCAAAAATTTACAAAAAAAGTTTCTTGTCATAACACTGAATGGCGATCTTCAAGATTCTTGTATTGTTGTTGAGTTTGTCTTGTTTCTGTCAAGCACAACTTTCTCCTTCTTTCTACGATCAAACTTGTCCAAACGCTCTATCGACCATTCGATCTTCAATCCGAACCGCAATCAGCCGTGAACGTAGAATGGCTGCTTCTCTCATCCGTCTCCATTTCCACGACTGCTTCGTTAATGTATGTTATTAACATTTGATCCAACATGTGTGTATATATTATACTTTCATGGACCGCTCTAAAATTTATGTTTGGTTTTGATTTTGTTGTAGGGTTGTGATGCATCGGTTATGCTCGTGGCAACTCCCACCATGGAGAGTGAGAGAGATTCATTGGCAAATTTTCAATCGGCGAGAGGATTCGAAGTTATCGATCAAGCCAAATCCGCCGTGGAGAGTGTCTGTCCCGGCGTTGTTTCTTGCGCTGATATTATTGCCGTTGCTGCCAGAGACGCTTCTGAATATGTAAATATCTATCCATCTTTATATACATATATCTAGACTATTTAGAACATATAATTAGATATTCAGCTACTATTTTAAATATCTTCAAGAAATATAGTATTTTCGTTTTGACGTAAACTATCATGCTACAAGTTTGCGGTTCTAAATCTCTTTGTTTTATCATAGTTCTAATTAATTAATCTTGAATATGTAAATTTTGGTATCATCAATAGGTCGGAGGTCCAAGATATAATGTGAAGGTTGGTCGAAGAGATTCCACTAACGCGTTTAGGGCAATCGCAGACAGCGGCGATCTCCCCAACTTTAGGGCAAGCCTCAACGATCTCTCTGAACTCTTCCTTAAAAAAGGACTCAACACTAGAGACCTCGTCGCTCTCTCAGGTCACTCACCATAAAAAACACAGTTTTAGTCACTAATTTCTTAACATTTAAGACATTTCTTGTGACATAAGTTAACCCTATTTACAGGAGCTCACACCTTAGGGCAAGCTCAATGCCTCACATTCAAGGGTAGACTTTACGACAACTCGAGTGACATTGACGCAGGATTCTCCAGCACACGTAAGCGTCGCTGTCCGGTCAACGGTGGAGATACGACTTTAGCACCTCTAGATCAAGTGACACCAAATTCGTTCGACAATAACTATTACAGAAACTTGATGCAGAAGAAAGGACTTCTTGAAACCGATCAAGTTTTGTTTGGAACCGGAGCTTCTACAGACAGTATTGTGACAGAGTACAGCAGAAATCCATCACGATTCGCGTCTGATTTCGGAGCTGCAATGATCAAAATGGGAGATATTCAAACACTCACTGGTTCAGATGGACAAATCCGAAGGATCTGCAGTGCCGTTAATTAAAAGAGTTATTACGTTGGTCTTCTCCGAGAAAGTTTAAAGACTTGAAAATTCAATGTTATTTTTTTTTTGGTAGGGTGAAAATTCAATGTTATTATGTTTACATGTATATCTATTTGATTCATTGTTGTAATTGTGTGTAACTAAATTCCTACGATAATTCGTTTGTTATTTGAATATATTGGAATAATAAATCATTTCGAATATATAAAAGGTACCTTATATTGTATAGCATTATCAAAAGCTATATAGTTTTGTCATGGTTAACGTCATTAGTTACAATCTCTAAAAGTTCATTTAAATTCTAGCTAGCATTAATTTATCCACGTATACATACACGTGGAACTATGATAACAACGTCGCGTGTCGGTCACCAGAACTTCTCCTCACGGAGAGAACCACCGGCTATATCCGGTTACTTTTTCAATCTCCTCTTCAATTTCTTCCACGTCATTCTAAGTATTCCCTGTCACGGCCGTTCTCAAATCTAATTTCGGGTAATACTATAAATACCTTAAAACAAAAAAAAAATGGAAGAAAAAGAGAGAAAAAAAAAAACTAAAACAGAAGAAGGAGAAGGAGAGAGGAGAAGTGATTCGATCGATTCTCTTTTTCGTGGTCGAAAGCTAAATCTATAAGGAATCTGAATCTTGTATGTGTTCCCGGAAATGAGAAGCGGCGGCTTGGAAATGATGTCATCTTCGGCGGCAGCAATCGTAGCGTTTAATTTGAAGGAGGCTACGAATTGGTGGTCGGATGTGAATGAATCTCCGGTGTGGCAGGATCGTATCTTCCATGTTCTTGCTGTTCTATATGGAATCGTTTCCGTCATTGCTGTGGTGCCGTTGCTTGTCCTTCTGGTTTTGAATTAGGATTGGAATTAGGAAATGGGTTGATTTGGAATTGGAATATTAGGGATTTTAGGATATTGAATTGAGGAAATAGATGCTGGATTGTGGCTGGGGAGGAAAAAAACCCTAAATTGATTAAAGTTTTGTTTTTGTTTTGTTGTAGATTCAATTGGTAAGAATACAATTGAGAGTTCCAGAATATGGCTGGACGACGCAGAAGGTCTTTCATTTTCTCAATTTCTTGGTGAATGGAGGTTGGTTTGTTTTCTCTTGTTAGTTTTTGATTTTGTCAGTCTCAGTCTGTGTTTGTTTTGTTGATTGTCTCTCGTCTTCTGTGTAGTTCGAGCTCTGGTTTTTGTTTTCCGTCGAGATGTACAGAATATGCAGCCAGAGGTTTGGTGTTTTCCATTCACATTGTGATTTAGCCTCATTGATGGTCTATGTGAATTTTCTAAACTTGCAAGTCTCGTTTGGTTTTTTTGTAGATTCTCCAACATATCTTGCTTGATATTCCAAGTCTTGCTTTCTTCACTACATATGCGCTTCTGGTTCTCTTTTGGGCAGAGATTTACTACCAGGTTAAACGTGATTCTGTATATATTTTAAATTTAGTTTTTGGTGCATTGTTGTTGATATTTTACTCCATTCTGACAGGCACGTGCTGTATCCACTGATGGACTGAGGCCAAGTTTCTTCACAATTAATGCAGTTGTATACGTAATTCAGGTGAAACTAACTTTCTATTTGGCCGGCCCTTGTAATATCTTGGAAATTTGCAAAGTTTTAGAGTTTACCTTGAACTTGGTTGACCTGTGGGCCTGAGCTTCTTATAAATTTCCGTACTATCCATTTGTATCTGATTGATGTGGGTTCCTTAGCTTTAACCTTTCATGTGAATGTATTAATTTCAGATTGCTCTTTGGTTGGTTTTGTGGTGGAAGCCTATTCACCTTATGGTAATCATTTCTAGGATGTTCTTTGCAGGTATAGCTTGAAATATAGATCATTTTATAGAGAGATTTTTTTTTTTTTCTTTTATGTACTCTTATGTCTCATCTCTTGTGAATATATATTGCAGGTGTCTCATTGTTCGCGGCCCTTGGCTTTTTATTATATGGAGGAAGGTAAGTGTGTTGCCACTTGCATATGCTACACGATGATGGTAGCATAGTTTATATGCTTGTTACATGTTTCCTGCCACAAATGATTTGCTGATTTCATTTTGAAAACTAGGATTCCTGCCCTTATTTGTGGCTGGCTACTGGCTAGACAAGATCTATTTTGGGCCATATCAGGCTTTATCATATATCATTACTGTTATGAAGGAATTTTCTCATGAAGTCGCCTTGATTTATCGTCTTTGATGATTATTTCTTTGCAGGCTTTTCCTGATGCTGCAGCGGTTTCCAGTAGAGTCTAAAGGGCGGCGCAAGAAGCTACAAGAGGTGAACCTTGAATATTAAACCAAAGATACCCCGATCTTTAATTTCCGTTTCTTGGATCTTTACCCCCTTTATGTGTTGTGCGAATTGCAGGTTGGCTATGTGACAACCATATGCTTTACATGTTTCCTAATCAGATGCATCATGGTAAAGATATACACATCATACTATTGATATCAATAGACCATATCTTGTTGGTTAAATTCTCTGTGTTAGTGGTCAATCTATGAGACTACAGCTAATCAGATCTTTCTTTTCATCTTCTATTAATGTTCTAGATGTGCTTTGATGCGTTCGACGATGCAGCAGATCTTGATGTCTTAGATCATCCAATCCTAAACTTCATATATTACCTCGTAAGCTCTCCATTCACCTATTTAACTGCCATAGATGTGCATATATATACACGCTATGTGGATCTTAGAATCTAAAATATGAAACTTCTTTTGAAAATCTCTAAACAAAAAGTGTGTGCCCTGTTTACTTACAGTTGGTGGAGATATTGCCTTCGTCTCTGGTCCTCTTTATCCTAAGAAAGCTTCCACCAAAACGCGGTATCACACAGTACCATCAAATCCAGTGAACATGTTGAGAGAATCGAAACACCGAGGTAACATTTACTGGATGATACAATAACAGAGAAAAACATAAGAAACAGCTGAAAAAGGGGTCAAAAGATGATCTGTCTTTTTTTTTGGGTTAAAACCGGAAGTTAATATCGTGTAGGTACCGGTAAACCGAAGAGTTCTTGTTCCTTAAATAGACAAAATGTACATTGTAAGGGGTTGCAGAACAATGGGTTGTAATTTCTTTCTAACTAATTGAATGTGGTTGATTAGTATAGTCTCTATTGTTTATACTAATTGAAAGTAGTTTGGTGTGAGAATGATAGAATCATACCTTTGAATGGGTTACTGAGATTTCCATCTTCTGGTTCTGATACGGAGGAACGATTGGTAGTTTGATGATATATTATAGACCTTAGCTTGTCATTTCATATTCATACGAAGTAGTTTCTTAAGAAGAATAGATGCAAATAGTCATTTTTGACTGGTTGGTCTAATATCTACTGGTCGTTTCCACTTTTTTAATTGAAAGTTAGGTGAGATTCACGTACTAATAGCATTTCGCTAATTTATTAATTACAATCGATATTTAATGATTTTCCTTATTTTTGTCGCCATGGAAATGCATGCTATGTAAACAAAATTTTGTTCAATTATAAATGAATTCTGCTTTATCATCAAAGAGAGAGACCTCTTTTATACATGTCAATTAGAGAGGGAGACGCAATCAGAGCAAAAAACGTGAATGTCGACTTAAAATTGTGGGATTGTTTGTTTGGTCACGGAATTGTAAGATGAGCAAAAAGAAAGTACAAATGCAGGAGAACAACAGAGACGTTTTTCTCTTTTAGTTTTTGTCGTCTATAACAACAATCAGACACCATCGGATCATAAAAAAACAAAAGCTACCGATCCAACGGCGAAGATAAAAGGACAAAATTGTCAATTTATGAAGCCATGTCACGTGGAACCCACTATAAAAGTGACGTGATTTCTTCTTCTTCTTCTTCTGTGTGATCTTTTTACGGCTGATGTTCTTCACACGTCTAACATATTATTAACTTTCTTTTATACATGTAAATCTTTTAAAAGAATTTAATCGTGGCGACTCTTTTAAGTTTTAACTTTAGAGTTTAGAGTTTTAGACCATCAAACAATTAGTTTTAATAAACCCGTCTTTTCAACGTCTTCTATATCATCATTAACTGATCTGAGATTACAGAATCACAGATTTAAATTGCTTTTACTATATTAAGTAAGTTTTATAGATTTTGGACTAACTGTTGTGAAAGTGGTTTTTGAGGATTAACTGTTGTGAAATAGAAAAACAAATTCAAGATTGTTAATAAATTAGTGGATTAAAAAGCCTGACACGTACGCAAAGATATCATATTTTTTAAAAAATAATGACGCGCCAAGTCGTTATCTAACGCATCTAAACTGTTACAGCTGTTTCTTTGCCTTTCTGTATTCTCTGCATGAACCCTAATCCAATGAAAAAAGCCGAGATTTTTGCATTTTTTGCCATTGAAGGACACTTTGAGAGTCCTTCTTCTGAAAATAATGGCCAAGGACTCACTTCTTCCTTTATTCCCATTTCAGGGCTCGCTTTTCTCCTATATAAACCATCATTTTCCTTTCTCTCATTTGCCGTCATCACCCAACAACAAACCCTAGTTTTCTTTTCTTTTTTGGATCTGAAGAATCTCCATGACGATTCTCATCGATCGCCACTCTGATCAGAACGGTTCGTGATCCTTTGTACTCGTTTTACTTTGGATATTTCTTTCTCTGTGCTCTGTTTTGAAATGATCTTGTTATAGACATTACAGATTTTTGATGATCTCCTCATGAGTTTTGGATTCAATTTCAGTTTTTATTTTGTGAGTTTGGTAACACTTTGATTGAATTTTAGTTACTGTAGATGCAGGAGATGAGATTGTAGAGAAGAATCAGGGGAATGTTAAAGAGGAAGAAACAGAGTTGGTTCTAGATGCAGGTTTTGAGGCTCCTCACACCAACTCCTTCGGTCACACGTTTAGGTACAATTTATCATCTTTCGAATCAATTAACACGGAGATTGCAAGATCGGAACTTTAATAGATATTTGCTTGTGTTGTTGTCATGAAAGGGATTATGATGCTGAGAGTGAGAGGAACAGAGCTGTGGAGGAATTTTACAGGGTTAATCACATTGGCCAAACCGTTGATTTCGTGAGGAAGATGAGGGAAGAATACGGGAAGCTAAACCGTACTGAGATGAGCATTTGGGAATGCTGTGAGCTTCTGAATGAGTTTATCGACGAGAGTGATCCCGATTTGGACGAACCTCAGATCGAGCATTTGCTTCAAACAGCTGAAGCCATCAGGAAAGATTACCCTGATGAAGACTGGCTCCATCTGACCGGTCTTATCCACGGTAAATTATACTCATGATTCGGTTTGATCTTGTTAACAAATTGTTAACTGGTTTAATGATTTTGTGTTTGGTGTGTATGTGAATTAGATCTCGGAAAAGTTCTTCTTCACCCTTCATTTGGTGAGCTCCCTCAATGGGCTGTTGTTGGCGATACATTTCCAGTGGGATGTGCATTTGATGAATCTATTGTTCACCACAAGGTATATAAGATCCTTAACACAACTTGAAAACTTTGTTCGAGTTTGAAAACATCTGAAAATTGATTCCATTGCTGGTTTCTTGATGTAGTACTTCAAGGAGAATCCAGACTATGGTAACCCGAGTTACAACACTAAGTACGGGATATACACTGAAGACTGTGGGCTCGATAATGTGTTCATGTCTTGGGGACATGATGATTACATGTACCTTGTAAGTTCATTACTATCTCAACATGTGTTTACGATTTAATGACATGTAAGACTCTATCTGATTACATAACTGAATTTTACAGGTTGCGAAGGAGAATCAAACTACATTACCACCAGCCGGTCTTTTCATCATCAGATACCATTCGTTCTACGGTATTTGAAACACAAAGACTGATTTGCTCGAATTTATCGATAAATAAATGAGTGTAGATTAGAAAACAACGGGTTCTTGTTATTTTATTTGGTTGGCAGCTCTTCACCAATCAGAAGCCTACAAGCATTTGATGAACAATGAAGACAGAGAGAACATGAAGTGGCTGAAAGTGTTCAACAAGTATGATCTCTACAGCAAAAGCAAAGTCCGTATAAACGTGGAGGAAGTGAAACCATATTACCTCTCCCTTATCAACAAGGTATGTATATTCAAATTTCATATTTACAAGCAAACTTCGGTCCATGCCCTTACGGGCGGGTTTTATTGGTGTTTAATGTTTGCAGTATTTTCCGGCCAAGCTAAAATGGTGAAAAATTACAAGCAGAAAGCTTTCTACTAAAATGGATGAGAGGAATGCGACCAAAATTAAACCTTTTAACTAAAAAAAAATGTGTAAATGTAAAGGCAATAACGGATATGCCTTGATGAATAAAACAGAGAGTTGTTTCGTTTCTGCCTACTGCTTAGTTTCATTTCCAAGGTTTATTTAAGAGATGTTACATTCCCGTTGAACTAAACACATGATTGTTTCACACAGGAACTAACCATATATATAAACCTATAAAGCACATAATATATAAAGTCAGTGACTAACATATGAACTAAAAAGCAGAGGTTACCAGACGTCAATCCAAAGGCAAAATTAAAACTGAAAGCACTAACATAAGCTTAGTCGTCATCTTGCAGAAGGCTCAAGGCGAGTAAAACCATACCCATAGCTGCAAAATATATGGAGAAATTCCCATAATTCCTGCAAAATGAAACAGCAACAAGTTCTCTTAGAAAAATAAATATGACTCTCACTTCCCAAGTAAAAAAAAGGAACATCAGATGTTTCTTACACTGATTTCGATTCCATATTAGATATGAGTTTCTTAAGTTCTATACGTTTATTGAAGACTTGATAGACATGTCGGATCGTAATATTCCCATCTTTGTCTCTTCCAGCCTAGAGTACAGTACAGAGATGTAAGTTTTTCACATTCAACCACTAATTGAAATCATAAAGATTTAAACAAACATGGCGTTTGTGACTTACCCCACCAACAATAGTCAAAGGTGTACCAATCTCAAGAACATTCTCCCAAGACTCACAACTGTCAGGATCACAAATCTAATAAAAGAAAGAAAGAAACACTAGCACAGTTATTGAAACCCGAATGAAAAAACAGAGAAATGAAAGAAGAAGAGACAAGGTAAGGAATAAAGACAAATACCGTGATTTCTTCCACAGAAAGCAATCTTTTGAAGTGCTTACTCACAGGAACAGTAGAGGAATACGTACGTAAAATATCATCAAATCCTTTGGCATGTTGGTAATTCGTTACATTAACCCGAGCAGTACCATCCTCCTAATGTGAAAATAGAAGCAACCAAATTAAATTAAGGAGCCACCACTGGCTTTGTGGATGAGAAAATAAGTCTTACCAAATACCAAGAAACCTCCTTACGGTTCACCAAAGTACTCTCATGTTCCCGTGTTAAACCAACACAATTCCTCCTATCATAAGTAACTGTGGCCTGAAGGAAAAACCAACATTATTTTTGACAAAAATAATCTGTCTTTTAGATTTAAGGAGACACAATCTTACCGTTTCCTCGACAAAAACACCCAAAGCGCTTTTACACATGGTCTCTACGGTTGAGGTTGATCCAACAGTTCCAAACACCACAACAGTGTTGTTTAATGGCTTAGTTTCAAGAAATTCCCCTGAAAATTTGTAAATTTTTGGATCATCGATCGATATGAAAACCGAAAAAAAAAATCAACTTTTTAGAAACCCTACCCAACCCTTTGAGCTCGTCCACCATAGTAGCTTCATCTAGAAACTCAGCGTTCCTGAACGGAAGAAGAAATCAAAATCAAGATCAAAAGTGTGTTTTCAAGCAGATTAGATATTGATTTAGGAACTGACTAACGTTTTATTGCTGCGGCCGCAAAAGTTGAACAGGAAGCCAACGCCTACAAATATAGCAGCAACTTCAATCATCTCTTCTCCGCTACAAAAAAAAAAAAAAAAACGGCGAGGATTTGTTTTTAACAGAGGACGAGAGATACGGACTTAAACGGAAAAATCGAGCATGAATTGATAATAATCAACTCGAATACGAACATAATCGAAGATTACCTCACGCCTGAAATTGAATGCTAAGTTTTCTTGAATTTTAGGGTTTCGCTAGAGCTTAGAAAGTAGAAGCAATGGAGCGAGACAGTGTTAATTTTGCAAAAAGACAAAAAAAAAAAATCATTTTGTTAATTATTGGCAAAACCAGGTGGGCTTATCGGGCCCGTCTAAGGATCTCGTAGCCCTGATATTTTTATAATGTTTTTGCTTTTAAATTCGGTCTTTATTTTTCTTGAAAAGAAATTAATTTAATTTTGTTGAACCTTTTTGGCTTTCGTAATTTAACATGACATCTTGAAAATTACGATCAAGACACTGAAAGAATTACCTGTGTTTTCTTAGTAATATATCAAAGATATTAATAGTCAATATTTCTATAGCCAAACCAAAATTTCCAGCTTCAAACTGTCCTAATGTGTAGGCTTCATATAACATAACAAAAGGCAACATAAAAAGTTTGGAAACATGTGAGAAAATGTCTATATAAGACAATGCTCCTTCCGCTCAAGCGTTGTTTGTTTTTCTTTCTTCCCCTGTCACTTCTTTTCTTCTTCTTGTTTCCATGGCTGTACAAAATGATAGAAATCTGGAAAACCAATACTTAATAATGTAAAGATTGATGATCTCTTTTTTTTGTTTTTGTTTATGAACTTAGCAATAGATAGATGTTTATCATACCTTCATGTAAAGGAAAAATTAGCCCGAAGTTGTGAATTATTGATGACACGTACATCCACCGTTGCAGAAAGTTCAAGGGAGAGCTTTTTGGTCAGGGACCGCGAATAGGTGATTGTGGCCACGTCATGGGTGTCAAACACCACTTGTATTCCTCTATGAAATCCTTTTTCATCATCATCCCACATCTTTCCAACACCAACTGAACATACATTTTTCATAGCATCTTTGACGTTGATTTGACATTTGGAGGTGATAGAAAACTTCTCGATTTCTTGTTCAAAAGAACACTTGAGATCTTCTCCATCCCTGCAACGAATTGCATGAAAAGAGTTAGAAAACAACAAAGATCAAAACAAAACAAATGATTGAAATACATGTTTACCAATCTGCAGAAGCAGAAAGACCATGAATCTTTGCTTTGCATGAAGCGGTGCTTTTCGTTATCTTGAAGGCAAAGGAAAAGATGGATGCGTCACTTGTTAGGCCTATTGACCAGTTGGCTATTCTACAAGCTCGGATCCTTTTATCAAGATTTCCTTCAAGTTTGATCTCGCAAGGCAGAGAGAAAGCCTCATAATTTGGAGTCACACTAAAGACAATGGTAGGTCTCTCAGTCAGAGATAATGGGAGTTTTAGTTTGAATAACCAATGCTCTAACCCCTCATATTGGAGTTCCAGCTGGGAACCAAAACATTCAAAGGAATCAGACACATGGAGAATACACAAACGGTGTTTAGGATGCATATAACAGAGATTACAACCTTATCGCGTTTCCCTTTAGGATGCATAAAACGGTAGGAGGCATGAAGTCCAGGGACTTTCATGGGGATCGATACAGAAAAGGTTCCCTGCCACATAGAGGAAAAACAATTTTAAGGTACTAGAATCTTACATTTCATCAAGGATACATAGTAGAACCCGTGAACGTGGTTAAATTTAACCGTTGGAACGAAGAATTGGGTAGGCTTTTGCTTCTCAAACATGAAATCAACAGAGCCTTTGTAGTTGGGCATATAAGATAGATTCATCTCAGAACTTGTTGGCTTCATTCCAAACAAGATGTTGCAAGACTTTTCCCACTCCGTTAGTTGTTTAGCATCTAGAAATGTAAACATGAGAAAACAGAATCGCAAAGTTTCTAGATTCCACATAACTCAATCAATAGAGAAGCAACAGCTCTAAAAAATCTCACCTTTTAATTTCCATGTTTCTTTCCAAAAACGTTCAGTGGATTTACGTCTATCGTCTTCCCATGGAATTTTGCCCCATAACCAAGTCAATGTGTTTGCTACCCAAGAGCTATCGCATATAGGATCGAAGATATAGGTTGCCATCGGATTCCTGAAGATAAAGTTTCAAACTTTAAGGTCTAAAACCCCAGCCCATAAACCCCAAGTCTAAAATCCGGTTAAAAAACGAAATCGAAATGCTGTTATGCTATCAAAGTTTTGAAATCATATACAGAAAGAAAAAGAGATAATACCTGTGAGAAAGAAATGAGAACTGAGAAATGAGGAATTTGGATTCTCTCGATAGTAAGACGATGCACAGACAACGTTCGGAAAATGAATGTCAGCACTGAGAAATAAAGAAAAGGAGAAGAAATGTCTTAAAATGAAACGACATCGTTTTACGCTATTTATGAGGAGACAGAGACCAAAAGACAAAAAGACAAAAAGGGGCGTTTCTGATTAGGAGGACTACAAGAAATTTGGTAACGATACGAAGATAAATTACTGAATTTGCTGCCTGCTTTTGGTCTTGTATAACTGAGGAGGATTCGAAATACTCGTCCTTGTTTATTCAATGGAAGTATAACGAATAAAGGAAGCTGGTTTTTGTCTGGGATTTGATTATGAGCTTTGGTCCGCAGCGGTGGAGCGCCATGGTGGACGTACTGGACTGATACAATTGGTCCTGCCACTGGGCGTGTGAGGAGAAGAGGTGTCGAGGCATTCTACGGAGTCAGTCACATTGGCCGAAACCAAAACTGAGGTGAGCATTTGGGAATGCTATGAGATTCTGAATAAGTTTATTGTCGAGAGTGATCCCAAACTAGACGTACTTCAGATCGAACTTTTGCTTCAGACAGCTGAAGCCATCAGAACATATTACCCTGCTGAAGATTTCGCTTTGATTGCATTAACAAATTGTTTAACCATTCAGTGATGTTGTGTTGGTGGGCTGTTGATGATTTCTCGAATGAATTATCTCTATTACAGATCAAACATATCTACTGGGGTGTACTTTTTGATTAATCTATTGTTCACCACAAGTTATATAAGATCCTTAGCACAAAACTTTGTTTTGAGTTTTATAACATCTGAAATTTGATTCCATCACGGTTTTTTTGATGCAGTACGTCAAGCAGACTCCATACTATGATCTCCAAGTAACAACACCATGTAAGAGATGTACACCAAAAGTTGTGGGCTCGACATTGTATTCATCTCGTGGGGACATGATGATTACATTTACCTTGTAAGTAAATTACAATCTCAACACTTGTTTTAATCTACCGGCATATAAGGATCTCTTTTTGATGCTATTACTCAGTTTCACAGGTTCTGAAGGAGAGTCAAACTACATTACCATCACCCGGTCTGTTCATCATCCAATACCATTCTACGGTATATGAACTACATACTGATTTTCTCAAATCTCTTATAAGAAAATGAGTCAAGATTATAAAACCACGGGTTCTTGTTCTTGTCTTTTTTTGTTCGCAGCTCTTTGCAAATCAGAAGAATACAAGCATTTGATGAAAAATGAAGACAGAGAGAACATGAAGTGGCTGAAAGTGTTCAACAAGTGCGATCTCTACAGCAAACGCAAAATTCGTTCAAAACATGTGTCAATCTGAAGGCAACAACGACTGTCAAATGATGTTTTTGGAATTGGCTGTCAAATGGTGGGGTTTCTGTAGACGACAACTTATGGTCACACCGTTGCTGGTCTTCTAACAAACAAGAATGTGAAATCTGAGCGTCAAGGTACTCCTTTTCTGTACTTTTTGTTGGAGTGTTGTCTTTAACTTCCTACCATGTATGTATATAGCTGAAGTGTGTAAGAATGTTGTTTCTCTTTGTATTGCTTGGCCGAGGCTATTTTTTTATTTAAATGCATTGATTGATTGCCTGTGATCATGCTTAGTGGTCTATACGTTTTGGTTGCAGATGTTAATCCATGATAAGTTACAAACTTGTTTCAGCCGTTCTTGGCTGTGCCATTCTTAACTGGTTTTTGCACCAGCAACAATGAAGAGAGTTTCACGAGTATGACTTACGGTTCTCATGCAATGGCCTCTATCTTATTGATAATGAAATAAGTTGTTAAAGGTCTGTAGGTTGCTGCATGTCAGTTTTGAGAGAAATTGGATTTGGAATTGAGAGGGCCCCAAATGTAAATACACTTACATACTTTGTTACATAGACTGGTTGTGTAACGACTAGTGAGTCTGTAAGCTTTAAAACCCAATTTTTGAAAGTAAGTGACATTTCACAAGTGGACGATGGGTAACTTTACTGATCTTTATTTCAATCTAGGCTCATTCTAGTAGCTGATGAGGGTTTGTGTGCAGCATATGAGTTTAATAAGGCGAGTATGCTTTACACATTTACTGAATACGTCTGTTCACTTGGTCTAGCGTCAGGATTCTGGTGTAGAACCATATGGTTAGCCAATGGATATTGCGCGAATTCAAGTCATGTTTCTTGTTTGTGGTTTATTGGGCATGTGTGTTATTTTTTAACCATCTGTTCATTCAATATGCAATGCAATGGAGCCACACTTGACAATTCAAGACCAGGTTTGAATTAGCTATTCTTTTTGTTATTGTTTTGTATGTAAACTATTTGTGTTTAAATCCCTCTTCCTTCTGCAGAAGGCCAAATCTTTTGTGTTACTACCTACCTGGATGGGTCTTGTGACATATGTGGGCGACCAGCTGAAATCAGAGTTACCTTCTTGCCTTCCTGCGCTTGAAATGGAAAAGAACTGATTAAGATGATTATGAAGCCGTTTTTGCATGTACCATGCAAATACGAGTTTCTACACCTTGCTGGGCTCGTTACTTCATTCTGCAAAGCCTTTGGTGAGAGAACTAAAAGTTGCTTATGGAAGTCCTTAGAGGACAGTGGTACACTGAACCTTTTATCTTCAACTTCGTCTGTGGGCTATCCATCTTCGGCTGTGGACAGTCTCCAAGCTAGAGGTATGGGCAATGTTTCAAAGTGTCCAGTGTGTGGCCTATAGAGTGAGTAACCATGTCTTGTTCACCTGTGCAAAAAGCTCGACAGGTGGGGGCATTCTCCATCCTCTTTGTTGACCAATTATACAGTTTTGCTTATGATTTGGAAGAACCTTGAAGGTACCTAAGGAGGAGTGTCCCTTGGAGCTTATGGATTATTTGGAAAAACAACAACAAATTCCTTTTTGAAGATGTAAGAATCAGTGGTTTCTCTCCCAGGAAATCGATGTTGCTGGAAGAAACAAAGAAGCCAATGACTGAATCATTTTCGTACACAAAAAGTGTCTGTTCACTTGTTATAAATTGGTGCAATGATAAGTTGTAGGCAAAAAAATAGCCAAATCAATTGAGAAAAACAGTTAGAATATAGAAGAAATATCAATCTCAACCATTAGATCAAATTTTATCTGTGAAGTTGTTGTTAAATCTAAACCGTTGATATTTGTGTTTCTTAAAGGGAAACAAAATGCTGAAGACCCAAAAAAAACTAGAGTTGATTTTTGTCATTTCTCTGATTGTTCCAGTTTGTTTATAGAATTAAGAAAAACATGGACTTAAAAAATCTTTAGACGGGCCAGATCAGATAAGTAAGCCCACATGGTTTTGCTAAGATAAATAATATTCTAATGAATCTTTAGACGGGCCAGATAAGATAAGCAAGCCCACATGGTTTTGCTAATATTCTTAGTGAATCGCCGTCTCTTTCTCCCCAGTCGTCGTCTCTTTCTCTCCAGTCGTTTTTCTCGAATAAATCGTTAACTCCGACGAAGAATACCAAACTTGTTTTGAAATCTCACACATTTTAGGATCATTTCAATCCTTAATCGATTATGGGCTTCTTTTCGTCTCTACTCTCTCAGATCTCGAAACCTGATTCTTCAAAGGTTAGGGTTTATCACTCCCAAAGCTTTGTGATTTGCTGGTTTTATCAATTGTTATTCTTAGTGAGGCTCTTAGATTAAGGTTTTGTTGGTTGTCTGGAACAAATTGTTGATAGAATTGAGCTGATTGATAGTTGAATAGCACTACCACATTTGATTTATCACGTTGTTTGCTAGTTTTATCAATTGTTATTCTTAATGAGATTCTTAAACTACTGTTTCTTATGATAAACTAGCATTTATCGTTACACTCTCTCCTTCTACTGTTAGAACCCATTTTAGTACTGAAAGTTACATCTATGAAATACTAGATTGTTAAGATAGCTACTGAAATTCGCTAGATTTTGTGGTTTCTGGTTTTATCACTTGTTATTGTTAATTAGATTCTTAAACTACTGTTTTTATCAATTGTTATCCATTTATGAATTTGTTGCTGTATTATACAGATGTCTGCATTTGCCGGTTTATTACTTTTTGGCTCCGTAGGAGCTTACACCATTGATTACCATATTAGAAACCGTCAATCTTCTTTTCTGAGAAGTGCCATCCCATTGAAAGAGTTGGGTAAGTTTCTACTCATTAAGTGTTAGTCGTTTTTGCATTTGTTTGTTAACCTGATCAATGATTCATTTTTTTCACTTTGAATCTCAGGTGAAAGGTTGAAAAGCAGCTCCAAACCTTTACCTGTTGTGTTTTCTGGACAAGTTCAATCCGATGAGCCCATAAAAGGTGGTTTGACACATCCCAACCAATTTGTGCAGCTACAGTTGGATGCTAGTGTTACTTATGACGGAAAGGTTAAATAACTCTTCATCTTACTTGAATCGATGTTTACATATTTATATCTACTTATGTCTTGACCAATACTATGTCTTATTCATTTTTCAGACCGAAATTGTCTATGAAGATAGTGATTGGAAGGGTGATCAGTTTAGCTCCATATTGGAGGTTGCATCAATCCACGAGGAGGTGTCTTGGCATCTGGTAAGACTTTTTCTAATTGTACTTTTGTACACTAATAGGATAATCTCATATATAAAGTAAAAGTTCTTTTATTGAATATTCCTCAACAGGTTGATGGCACTGAGAAGGTTCGTATAGTGGGAATTCAAAAGGCAATTGGCTTTGATTTGATTGCCTGTAAAAGAGAAGTTGCAGGTCCGGGGACTGCACTCGTGAAAGTGCTACCTTTTTACAGAGAGTTGGATGATCGTCGAGGCATCAAGGTTTCATCTTTTGAATTGTTTTAGTATTTTGTTTCGCTTGAGGTGCATTTACTGACTTAAGTTTTTTTAGGTGCTTGGAGTAAAACACTGTGAGCGTGCTCTGAAAGTGGATTCGTCTTTGACAGTTATTGGTAAAGTAAGTTTGACATTCTTTTGTTTCTGTTCATCTGTTAATGAAGTTTGTGGTCCTTTGTGTTGATTATTTGATTGGTTTTCTTATATCATGCATTATAGGCTGTGAAAGAAAACAGTGGAGAGATCACAATTCTAGAGCCATTGTTTGTTTGTCAATCTGACAAGAATTCTGAGTCTAGTATCATTCTATTTGATAGTTTAAGGTAAAAGAAAACAGAATTTTTCTCTTATATGATTACTGTCAAAATATCTTTTCTCACTTTCTTTTTTTTGGCAGTGCATGGCAGATCGTGTCCATGTCCGCATTTGTCACGGCATCGGTTATAATAGTAATTGAGGTGTGTTTTTTTACTTTAAGTTTTGTTTGTACATAGAGAAAACATCTTAGTCTTACGGTTTTAATTGTGGTTTTTGGTTTATGATTCAGGGACTCGAGTATTTTTGCTACAATCCTCCAAGTAGCTGAGGATTTCAACTCCTCCAACCTAGCTATAGGATTTGAACTCTTAGCTTAACTTTTAATATGAATAATGGCGCTGTTTCTACTACATGACTTAACTTCAAATTAATGTAGATATACAGTTATATAAGTGAAGTGTGTAAGAATGTTGTTTCTCTTTGTATTGCTTGGCCGAAGCTATTTCTTGATTTAAATGCATTGACTGATTGCCTATGATCATGCTTAGTGGTCTATACGTTTTGTTGCAGATGTTAATCCATGATAAGTTACAAACTTGTTTCAGCCGTTCTGTGCTGTGCCATTCTTAATTGGTTTCTGCAGCAGCAACACTGAAGAGTTTTACGAGTATGACTTCCGGTTCTCATGCAATAGCCTCTATCTTATTGATAATGAAATAAGTTGTTAAAGGTCAGTAGGTTGTTGCATTGTCAGTTTTGAGGAAATTGGATTTGGAATTGAGAGGGCCCCAAATGTAAATACACTTTCGTGCTTTGTTACATAGACTGGTTGTGTAATGACTAGTGAGTCTGTAAGCTTTAAAACCCAATTTTTGAAAGTAAGTGACATTTCACAAGTGGACGATGGGTAACTTTACTGATCTTTATTTCAATCTAGGCACATTCTAGTAGCTGATGAGGGTTTGTGGGCAGCCTATCAGTGTAATACGTCCTAATAAGGCGAGTATGCTTTACACATTTACTGAATACGTCTGTTCACTTGGTCTAGCGTCAGGATTCTGGTGTAGAACCATATGGTTAGCCAATGGATATTGCGCGAATTCATGTCATGTTTATTGTCTGTGATTTATTGGGCATGTGTGTTATTTTTTAACCATCTGTTCATTCAATATGCAATGCAATGGAGCCACACTTGACAATTCAGGACCAGGTTTGAATTAGCTATTCTTTTTGTTATTGTTTAGTATGTAGACTATTCTGTGTTTAAATCCCTCTTCCTTTTGCAGAAGGCCAAATGTTTTGTGCTACTACCTACCTGGATGGGTCTTGTGACATATGTGGGCGACCAGCTGAAATCAGAGTTACCTTCTTGCCTTCCTGCGCTTGAAATGGAAAAGAATTGATTAAGATGATTATGAAGCCTTTGGTGAGAGAACTAAAAGTTGCTTATGGAAGTCCTTAGAGGACAGTGGTACACTGAACCGTTTATCTTCAACTTCGTCTGTGGGCTATCCATCTCTAGCGGCAGAGGACAGTCTCCAAGGTAGAGGTATGCGCACGGTTCAAAGTGTCCAGTGTGTGGCCTGTAGAGTGAGTAACCATGTCTTGTTCACCTGTGCAAAAAGCTCGACAGGTGGGGGCATTCTCCATCCTCTATGTTGACCAATGATAATACAGTATTTGCTTATGATTGGGAAGAACCTTGAAGGTACCTAGGGAGGAGTTTCCCTTGGAGCTTATGGATTATTTGGAAAAACAACAACAAATTCCTTTCTGAAGATGTAAGAATCAGTGGTTTCTCTCCCAGGAAATCGATGTTGCTGGAAGAAGCAAACATGGAGCTAATGTCTCGGCTTGGCCACTGTGGAGGGCACCTCCAAATATTTGGGTCAAGTGCATCATTGGTCTTCCTGGTCTAAAAGGAATAGATTGGGAGGTGCAGCTTTGTGGGTGTTGAGAGATCAAAGAAGCCAATGAAGAACTTTAGCACACTCTCTTTTCATCCATAACTGAACCATTTTCCTACACGAAGTGTCTGTTCATTTTTTTTTAAATTGCAAGTCGCATAATCAAGTTGGATAGTGATGGAAAAACTTGTTTGTGTATTTTTCTACTTAGAGCGTCTAGAATAAACTAATTTGACGTAAAAGAATAATAATTAAAACTTGCCTTTCTGTCAAAAACTTCCAGAATTCACAATCAGTCTTTAGTTCGATGGTAATTTCTGTACTTGCATGATAAATACAGATGACAAAGACAATAAACATGAAAAACACACATTGGCCGAATACATAAACTACAGCAAATTCTAGAAAGTCTTTATGCTTTTTTTTTCGCTACATCATATGTTTGAATGGCTGATGACTTGAAGAGCAACTTGAACCCTACCTTGGGGCACTCGAGTGGATGCTTTAAATCCATCTGTCCGGAGACAGAAACAACATAATCAAGCCCCAACTTTGTTTCAATACAACCATTGAGGACTCCAAGGTGGTTGATCTTTGCCTTAGATACATAGTTGGAAATAATACCATCGTCATCATGCTTCCAAGCAACGCCAAATGTCGCAGTGTACTGATTTGAGGAAATTAGTTTGGTCATCTCAATTCCCCAATCAAACTCCTCGCCAAAATGGTGAACAAATGATCCAACCAATGAATCTAAATCCCTCCAACTAAAAATGGTAAGATGAATTGTGAGGTCACTAATATAATTGATTGTTTTACTAAGAAATGGAGTTAGAGGTGCTTACTATATGATTGAAGCCATGAAATCATTGGTTTTCATGGCACACCCTACCCAAGACCTCATGAATCGACGACTTTCAACTGCATAGGAAGCTTCACCACCTAATTTCAAACAAGACGCATATATTGCCGCCGATAAATCTAATCTCTTCGGAATTTGTTTCTGAAAATCAATAACTCTCACTCTCAAAGCCATGTTCTCTTGACAATGAAGCAACTCCAACTGCAATTTTGACAAAAAAAAAAAAAAGACACAATAAGTTTCCAATGATGATGGTCACATGAATAACAATCACTTTTTCAGAATTTAATATTTTCAGATTTTACCTTCATTGATTCTGGTAACTCAGGTACTCCAAAGCTGGCTTGCAATTTAGTAGAATGCCAATACAAGCTGAGGTCTCCAGAAACCTGTTTTTGTACATTTAGATTATTTGAAAGAATAAAGCTCAAAACCTATTCAACAAGGTTATGGTTCTATTTTTCTTTACATTGGGTTTACTGTCTATCTTGATGTCCACTCGGATCCTGTCCACATTAATCGCATTGTCCCAGAAGCTCAAATTTTTGTAGTTAATGTGTGTGGCGATATCCCAATAGGTAAAAGGATATCCCACATTCCTTATCTTCGAATCCATTCCCTGTAAATAGATAAACGATAAAATGTAGATTGAAATAAAATTATAAGGCATCAGTCAAATCATAGAGAAGTTATGTTTACCACTAGCCATTTAGTATAAGGAACATTTTTAGGATCATCAGAATTCTTCTCTAGAAACATCATCTTCGTTGACAGATAAACTCCTTGGTCATTATAGCCCTTTTCCAAAAGATCTGCACGTATGAAAATGTCAAAACAGGGATAAACAGTGGCTTATTACAAAATCGAACCAATAAATGGTTATACCTTGAGCAACCTTGTGCAAATTCTGTATATTTGTATAAATTTCCTGCAATACAAACACAATGACACATATTTAAACCGTGAAAAACAGAAAATCTAAAACATTAAAAGCTAGCTGGACTAACAGCTTTTTCGAAGACATCAAGCTCCTCCTGCAAGTTGAGAATTTAAGAGAAACATTAGCTATGAGTTTGTAACTTGATAAAACTAGCAAACCACAAAATCTAGCAAATTTCAGTAACTATCTAACAATCTAGTATTCCATGGACGTAACTTTCAGTACAAAAATGGGTTCTAACTGTAGAAGGAGAAAGGGTAACGATAGACATTAGTTTATCATAAAAAACCTTAATCTTAGAGCCTCACTCAGAATAACAATTGATAAAACCAGCAATTCACGAGCGTTGGGAGTGATAAACCCTAACCTTTGAAGAATCCGGTTTCCAGGTTTGAGAGAGTAGAGACGAAAAGAAGCCCATAATCGATTAGAGATTAAAATGTTCCTTGTGAGATTTCAAAACAAAAGTGGTATTCTTGTCGGATTTAAGGATTTTTTTTTTGAGAGAAACGACTGGAGAGAAGAGACGACGACTGGGGAGAAAGAGACGGCGATTCACTAAGAATATTAGCAAAACCATGTGGGCTTGCTTATCTTATCTGGCCCGTCTAAAGATTCATTAGAATATTATTTATCTTAGCAAAACCATGTGGGCTTACTTATCTGATCTGGCCCGTCTAAAGATTTTTTAAGTCCATGTTTTTCTTAATTCTATAAACAAACTGGAACAATCAGAGAAATGACAAAAATCAACTCTAGTTTTTTTTGGGTCTTCAGCATTTTGTTTCCCTTTAAGAAACACAAATATCAACGGTTTAGATTTAACAACAACTTCACAGATAAAATTTGATCTAATGGTTGAGATTGATATTTCTTCTATATTCTAACTGTTTTTCTCAATTGATTTGGCTATTTTTTTGCCTACAACTTATCATTGCACCAATTTATAACAAGTGAACAGACACTTTTTGTGTACGAAAATGATTCAGTCATTGGCTTCTTTGTTTCTTCCAGCAACATCGATTTCCTGGGAGAGAAACCACTGATTCTTACATCTTCAAAAAGGAATTTGTTGTTGTTTTTCCAAATAATCCATAAGCTCCAAGGGACACTCCTCCTTAGGTACCTTCAAGGTTCTTCCAAATCATAAGCAAAACTGTATAATTGGTCAACAAAGAGGATGGAGAATGCCCCCACCTGTCGAGCTTTTTGCACAGGTGAACAAGACATGGTTACTCACTCTATAGGCCACACACTGGACACTTTGAAACATTGCCCATACCTCTAGCTTGGAGACTGTCCACAGCCGAAGATGGATAGCCCACAGACGAAGTTGAAGATAAAAGGTTCAGTGTACCACTGTCCTCTAAGGACTTCCATAAGCAACTTTTAGTTCTCTCACCAAAGGCTTTGCAGAATGAAGTAACGAGCCCAGCAAGGTGTAGAAACTCGTATTTGCATGGTACATGCAAAAACGGCTTCATAATCATCTTAATCAGTTCTTTTCCATTTCAAGCGCAGGAAGGCAAGAAGGTAACTCTGATTTCAGCTGGTCGCCCACATATGTCACAAGACCCATCCAGGTAGGTAGTAACACAAAAGATTTGGCCTTCTGCAGAAGGAAGAGGGATTTAAACACAAATAGTTTACATACAAAACAATAACAAAAAGAATAGCTAATTCAAACCTGGTCTTGAATTGTCAAGTGTGGCTCCATTGCATTGCATATTGAATGAACAGATGGTTAAAAAATAACACACATGCCCAATAAACCACAAACAAGAAACATGACTTGAATTCGCGCAATATCCATTGGCTAACCATATGGTTCTACACCAGAATCCTGACGCTAGACCAAGTGAACAGACGTATTCAGTAAATGTGTAAAGCATACTCGCCTTATTAAACTCATATGCTGCACACAAACCCTCATCAGCTACTAGAATGAGCCTAGATTGAAATAAAGATCAGTAAAGTTACCCATCGTCCACTTGTGAAATGTCACTTACTTTCAAAAATTGGGTTTTAAAGCTTACAGACTCACTAGTCGTTACACAACCAGTCTATGTAACAAAGTATGTAAGTGTATTTACATTTGGGGCCCTCTCAATTCCAAATCCAATTTCTCTCAAAACTGACATGCAGCAACCTACAGACCTTTAACAACTTATTTCATTATCAATAAGATAGAGGCCATTGCATGAGAACCGTAAGTCATACTCGTGAAACTCTCTTCATTGTTGCTGGTGCAAAAACCAGTTAAGAATGGCACAGCCAAGAACGGCTGAAACAAGTTTGTAACTTATCATGGATTAACATCTGCAACCAAAACGTATAGACCACTAAGCATGATCACAGGCAATCAATCAATGCATTTAAATCAAAAAATAGCCTCGGCCAAGCAATACAAAGAGAAACAACATTCTTACACACTTCAGCTATATACATACATGGTAGGAAGTTAAAGACAACACTCCAACAAAAAGTACAGAAAAGGAGTACCTTGACGCTCAGATTTCACATTCTTGTTTGTTAGAAGACCAGCAACGGTGTGACCATAAGTTGTCGTCTACAGAAACCCCACCATTTGACAGCCAATTCCAAAAACATCATTTGACAGTCGTTGTTGCCTTCAGATTGACACATGTTTTGAACGAATTTTGCGTTTGCTGTAGAGATCGCACTTGTTGAACACTTTCAGCCACTTCATGTTCTCTCTGTCTTCATTTTTCATCAAATGCTTGTATTCTTCTGATTTGCAAAGAGCTGCGAACAAAAAAAGACAAGAACAAGAACCCGTGGTTTTATAATCTTGACTCATTTTCTTATAAGAGATTTGAGAAAATCAGTATGTAGTTCATATACCGTAGAATGGTATTGGATGATGAACAGACCGGGTGATGGTAATGTAGTTTGACTCTCCTTCAGAACCTGTGAAACTGAGTAATAGCATCAAAAAGAGATCCTTATATGCCGGTAGATTAAAACAAGTGTTGAGATTGTAATTTACTTACAAGGTAAATGTAATCATCATGTCCCCACGAGATGAATACAATGTCGAGCCCACAACTTTTGGTGTACATCTCTTACATGGTGTTGTTACTTGGAGATCATAGTATGGAGTCTGCTTGACGTACTGCATCAAAAAAACCGTGATGGAATCAAATTTCAGATGTTATAAAACTCAAAACAAAGTTTTGTGCTAAGGATCTTATATAACTTGTGGTGAACAATAGATTAATCAAAAAGTACACCCCAGTAGATATGTTTGATCTGTAATAGAGATAATTCATTCGAGAAATCATCAACAGCCCACCAACACAACATCACTGAATGGTTAAACAATTTGTTAATGCAATCAAAGCGAAATCTTCAGCAGGGTAATATGTTCTGATGGCTTCAGCTGTCTGAAGCAAAAGTTCGATCTGAAGTACGTCTAGTTTGGGATCACTCTCGACAATAAACTTATTCAGAATCTCATAGCATTCCCAAATGCTCACCTCAGTTTTGGTTTCGGCCAATGTGACTGACTCCGTAGAATGCCTCGACACCTCTTCTCCTCACACGCCCAGTGTCATATAAGTCCTTAATGACAATAAGCAAATATCGATTAAAGTTTTGATCTTTCAATCTCTGAAGCTAAGCCCGACATTATCTGGTGTGAATTGATTCGAAAGATTTTTAATAAACAAACAAATTTGGAAATTTCAGGAGAGAATTACCTGAACGTATGACCGAAGGAGCCAGCCACCATCCAATCACTACTTTATTCTTCCTCTTTTCATTTCCCCTGATTATTATTCTCTACAATCTCATCGCCTGCATCTCCAGAAACTCAAACTCATTCACCAAACATATTGAAATTCCCAAATTCAATCACCAAATTCGACAGACCTACAAACGGGAATTTGGAATTTACATAAGCCACAATTGATGAAGGAGATCATCATCCGAAATCTACAATCAAATCATTTCAACACAAGGCCTCGACTCCTTCAGGTAAGTCCTTCTTCAATGGGAAAAATCATTTTGTCCCCTTTTTTTTTATTTTTCCCTTTTTATATATAATTGAAATACGGTTTTCATAGAGACAAAAATAATGGAGTTAACCGGGTAAACCTGGTCTAAAATTGAATACGAACGGTCCCGCAGATGATTTTACTACTTAGTTAATTAAGCTCGAGGCAACTGGGGCAATAATTGTAATTACAAAAGTTATGGCTCATATGTAAACATAATTAAAATATAAGGGCCACAAACTAAAAAGTTTCCTTGTATCTTGCATCACCGAGGATATGTATGCCAGTACCCCCTCCAAGCATTTCAACAATCTTTGCCTTTCACCAGAAGGAAAGCCAATCCTATAGGTAAACGACTAGCGTCTGATTCTTTTCGCTGATGGGTTCTTCCCATGTCTGATTCTTTTCGCTGATGGGTTCTTCCCCTGTCTGATTTAGCCTTCTCTGATCTGTTACGTAATTCTTCTTTCTCCCACTCGAATGGTAACAACACCCTTCTTATACAATGCACACCGTACATGACGGCTAGAGCCACACCAACAGTTCCGATGATCTTGCCGAGCCCAATATAAACCCTGCAAAATTAACACAACAGTCTTTCAACAAATATGATTCATCAGCTCCCAAGTATTCTATGACAGAAACATGATGAGTGTTTCCTACTCTGACATTGACTTCAATTCAGCAACCATATTTTCAAATGAGCCCTCTCCACTGTAGACCAGAAAAGATTGTTCCTTGGGTCTTTGAATCATGACAGTCCCAGCTTTGTCTCTAACAGCCTACAATACAGAGAGGGACGAAATCAGATGTAACTTAGCTTGCACATCCCCGAAAAAACCACTATTCTTAGAGATTCCACATTTCCTGAATAAAGAAGAAACAAAAGGAACAAGGGCTTCCCATACCTCGCCAACAAAAGTCAAGTAAGTACCAATATTAAGAGCACGCCCATGACAATTATGTTTAAGCACCTAAAAAAAACATCACCTTGTTGTTTCAATCCAAGGAAAATTGTGTTCTAGGGGTCAAACAAAGAAAAAAATGAACAAACGACGAACCTTTGTGCCATCAGGTATAACAACCGTTTTCAAGAGTTCACTTGCTGGCATCTTAAATACATACTTATTTAGAATACTATTAAATCCTAGAGCATCTTGAACTCCCACTACATTCACCTGACCCGTACAGTCTTCCTAGATGTGAGAGAGAGGAATAACCAATTAAGGAGGCAGGGATAAGTTGAGGGCAAGAAATAGCAAATGAACGCTAGAATGTATCTTACTAGATACCAAGGAGTCTCCTTTTGATGTAACAGAAACGTTAGAGACTTCTCTATCAAACCACCACCTTCCAACTCGATCTTACAATCCAGTTTAGCCTGAAGTATATGTGTTATGACGCCAACAGAAAGTTAAGCACGCATGATGCAATAACACCATCAGAAAAGTAAGCGCACATAACATGAAGCCAACTTTACAAAAGCAATCTTTACCGTTTCCTCAACAAGAACACCCAAAAGACCATTGTGTTTGCAGTCGAGGGGAGCTGCGGAACCAACTCTTCCGGATACCAGAACAAGGAGATTCGTGGTGTTTTTTGCAAGCAAATCATCTGAAAAAACAAACAAGGATCATATTAATCCAAAACCAATACAGATGAAAAATAACCAGAAGTCGAATTATTAAACAGAAACATATACCTAACGATTTCAAGCCGTCCACACGGGTAATACTGCCCAAATAGTCAACTCTCCTGAGCCATCATTGCAAAAACACATTACAAATTGATTGATAAAGCGTTGTTAACATTCAAATATCGAGAAGGACTGGGAATGAGATTAACCTTTTAATTTTACGGCCAAAGAGATAACATGATGCACCAACGAATGAAAGAAAAACAGCAGATTCAACCACCTACAAAATTAAACAAGAGTGCATCACGATCGTTCCAGAGTTGATCTTAAAATAAAAATAAAAACAAAAACTAATTGGCCCTTCAAAAACACCAATCCTTCCTCAAGATGGTATCACCATAAGAAACACCAAACCTTAGACACCCTCCTAATCGGACCTTTAAAAATCCCTCTACATGCTTCTAGAAAATTATAAGATTTACTAGTTCAGAAATCCCGATATCAAAAGTAAGCGGAACTAACTGGTTCCATCGCGAGGTCGGAGTTGTCTCCGCGTGATCTAGCTCCGCGAGTCGCACCGGAGAGAACGGCAGCGATGAACCCTAGTCTCTCAAATGACTTCGTTTGGGACAACGAAAACGACCAAGTTCACTCTGCTGACAATAAAAGGCCCACAATTTTGTTTTAGGGATATATTCGACGATTCAATCTTTATTAGATACTAGATTAGTACTCATGTATTTATCGATAAATGCTTCTTTTTTTTGCAAATTTTATGTTAAATTTCAATTGAATCAATTATGAATCTATGCTAGATATTATTAAATATTTCAAATTGAAATCTTAAAAATATATACTTCTAAGTACACTTATAATAAAGTTGTTTTAGTAATAAACAACTAAAATTATGGGGGATTAGCAAAAATACCCCTTTTCTCATGCCCCTTTTCAAAAATGCCCCTTTTAGATGTCCATTTTCAAAAATGCCCCTTTTTAAATCTGAAATTTTTATAAAGTTTTATTAGGTTTATAAGGTACTTATGGATTGTAACTACTACTTGAAGACTCGATCCAAGTATTTATAAGGTTTTATAAGGTGTTTTTAAAGGTTTTACAAGTTATTTTAAAGGATTTTTAAGGTTTTTCAAAGGTTTTACAAGATATTTTAAAGGTTTTTAAAGGTATTTAAAATGCATTTATAAGGTATTTATAAAGTATTTATAAGATTTTAGATACATAGAAATGTAGTTTGTGTATGTTTTAATAATATTACATACATATTTGGGTAAATCTTATATTTTTAAGATCATTTTTTATAAGGTTTTAAAAAAGGGGTATTTTTGAAAAGTGGCATTGAAAAAGTGGCATTATTAACAATTTCCCTAAAATTATCTGAGTTAGTTTTAGAATACAAATTTTATATTTACTTTATTTTATTTAGCTTTATAATTTAACTAAAGAAAATTTGAAATATATTTTGAAGAATAATTTGGTAACCAAAACATCTTGCTACTAATATCATAGTCAACTTACTTTTTTTTGTGGACAAAAGTCAACTTATTTTAACATAAAATAAACTATAATTTTGGTAAAATAGTTTTACTAACCTACCCAGATTGGTTTCACTTTCACAATTCTTTTAGATATAGAATTTAGAAAACACAATTTTTTTTTTACAAATTATACTATTTTGTTTTCTAAACTCTAGTGAATTTTCATGGATTTTTGTTGATATTTTCTTAAGACTATTTCGTTTATTTGTTTTATTTTATTTCAAGGGTGATTTAGGTGAATAACAAAAAAAAAAAAAAAATTAGTTTTTTAGAAAGAAGGTAGGGAGAGATAGGAAGAGAAAGAGAGTGAATAGGGGGGTTAGATGTTAGTTATTGAATTAAAGTTTTTTTGTTGGTTAGTTTTACCAATTTCCCTTATTTCAATGCTAATTTTTTTTATTTTGGTTCACTAAACAAAACAAAAATTATATATCTCACCCTCACGAGATATGGCCATATGGGTTTGTAATATTGTCACATATCATTATTGTAGTAAAACTGATGAATGTAGATTGTTTTTTTTTTTTTTTATGTTAACGGATGAATAATGAAACTGTTTGGAGAATGTAATTATATAATATAGCCCATTAGCTTTCTTCATAGAAGATGCAATTGTTGTTGTTTTTTTTGTTGGTCTTTTTTAATTTTTAAAGATAAAATTTAAGAATTTCATGGATATTGAAAGTTGTGTCTTATGAGTAAAATTAAGAGAACCCATATCCCAATAACAAGATATTCTAATACTAGAATTGTAAAATCAAAGATAACTAGAATAACAAGAGATAGTGGATAGAATCAACGATAACTAAACACTTGATTTTACTAAAAATTTAAGACTCTATTAACCAATAACAGTTGAATCTGAAAATTAAAAATCTATATATACATTTTTGGTGAAGATTTGGCCTCAAAAATCCTTTTACAATTTCAATATTGTACATTTAGTCCCTACAAATAAAATCTGGAAAAAATATATGTCTTAATCAAATTTACAAATCAATAAATAAACTCTTAAAACATTTCCTATTTTAATGGTAACGAGATTTCAAATCCTAAAATATGGAAGTCAAATATTTAATTTTAAATGCTATTAAACATAATTTCGAAAATATCTAGCAAATGGAAACTAATAAAACAATAAAATTGAAATCAAATCTAAATTAGCATTATATAAATCGAAATTAAATGATTGATTTAGTAAATATAGAAATCGTATATATTTACATAACAAACATATATTTACAAAGCAAATCGTTCCCTATTTTAATGCTAGAGATTTTATTGTATTTAACATTTGTTTCCTAAAAACTCTGAACTATATTAATTCGATATCAATCTCAACTACACGAAATGGAAATGTCACATAACTAAACGATTTTATTCTTATTTGATCAAGCATCTATGTAGCATATTCTTTTTTTGTGACGATTTAAAGATTTTCAAAGATATTAAATTCTTGCTCATCAAGATTTTGAATATTTTCTAACCTAAAACTCTACTAACTATCAAAACACTATAAATACTCGCTCATTTCTCCCATCTCTAATCACAAACAAAAATCTACTTTCTTCTCCATAGGTAAGACGTCTTAGCCTAGACGGATCAAATTTTTTGATAATAGTACGTCTTAGCTCTAATAATCGCTCACGTTTCTTTATATCGCCGTCGTTGTTAGCGTCGTCGGGATTAGAAACAGTAGGAGGATTTTGAATCTGATCGTGATTAGAATAAGAAGAAGAAGAAGAAGAAGAAAAAAGCCAACGACGAATACCGTTGACGAGATTGCCATTGATTTTTTTTTTCTTTTCTCTGGAGGAGTTGAGAACATGTTCTTCTCTAATGTTTTGTTTTTTCAGTTTTGTTTTCTTTTAATTTTTTTAGTTTTGTACTTGCTCCAGTCGAATCTGCAAGAGAGAGAGACAGAGACTCGCATATGAGAAGAAGACCAAATTATTTATTGATTCTTTGATAAGTCAAAATTATTGGAGGAGAAAGGAAATTGTTGATGTTGACCAAATTGGTTTCTTGTGTGGTTTACGTGATTTTTGTTGGAGATCGACTTTCTACTCAATTAACAAATATGAAGATTGAACCAAAAAAGGAGAAGAAGCGTAAGAAGAAGTTAAGCAGAGAAGAAACGTTTTGTGTCGTAGCAGGAAGAAGAAGAGAAGAAGGAAGAAAGTAGAAAGAAAAAAAAAAAGGCCAGATGGGCCAAAAGACTAATGAAAGACCACGTATGTAAATGGGTTAGTTGTTGTTTTTGTATTAAGGCAAAGGAAACAATTAAACCTAAGTAGTAGTAGTATAAATATGTTGTGGTTGTAGTAAAAACAAGATAAGGTTATTGTAATTCCAAAAAACTTCAAATGGCTAAACCTAGCAAGATCCAACAATTTTGTTGACTAGATCGGTATAATTTGTGATTTGTGAATTTGTGAACCAACTTTAGGCGTTCACGTTCTAAAGAATATAAATTAAATGTGCTTGCCTATTTCAATACTAGGGTCTATATCCTTACCAAAAACTATTTTAGAGTAGTTATAATATTTAAATTTTATAAAAAGTTTATAATATTAACAATATTTGAACTTTATAAACTTTTAAACTAACTCGAATTATATGTCTTTTAAATAAAAATATTAATAAAAAGAAAAATAACAAAATGATGTTCAATTTTACGGGACATAATTATATGGTGGGACGGGTTTGGATCAATATTAATATGGAACGGTATACTACGGGTGAAATCCTAAAATTAACAATCAAAATAAAATTATACAATCTTAAACACTAAACAAAATAAACAATATTATAAAAAAAACAAATACAACTTAAAATTTTAATTTTTTAGTTCTAAAATATCGTCCCGCGGTGTACCGCGGGTCAATCCCTAGTTCATCAACAAATATATAACAACACCCTCTTAGAAAACTCGTAAGTTTGATCCTTGCAATTAATAAAAAAAAGTAAGACAAATGAAAGTAAAACGGCAACGTTTCGGTGTAGCAAGGAAAATTAGAATCCGGTTAGCCTGTCTGGCCCAACCGACTAGGCTTTTTACTCCCAGTCGATTTATATTTATGTTAAACCACGGAAGTTGTATTTTCCTCGGACAGTTTGTACTTTCATCTTACTTTTTGTCAGGTAATAAGATCTATCAGCGGAGAAAATGTTTGAATTTGTTTTCCTGTGTTTGGGCAGTGCTGCTGCCGTGATATACCTCGGCGGCTACGAGATTAAACGGTTCGTCGCCTCCGACTTATCAGATCTTTTTCTGCTTATATAAGATTTTTGGAATCGATTCTTCTTCTCTATAACGGTGCAGGAAGGCTGAGTATCTCAAGAGTGCCACCCGCGTGAAAGATTTGAGAGGGCTGAGTATGTTTTCCGTTCAATTATCTAAAAGTCTGATTACCTTTTTTACATTTTTCTGAGTTTGTTTTGGATTCGAACCGATGATCCAATATTCTTTTTGATTTCTGGAATCAATTTTTTTGGTTAGGAAGCCATGTATGCTTAACAATCTATTTACGTTTAGGTGAATTGCTTGAAAACAAGACTAAACCGCTGGTTGTTGCGATATCCGGAAGAGTTGGCTCTAGTAGGCCTTTAAAATGCGAACATAGTGGCATTTGGGGTGTTTTTATGGAGGAAAAGGTAAGATCGTTTTTGTGAATTTGGGCATCATGTGAGCTTAATCTCTGTTGGAATCATAACAATTTTTTTAGGCCAAACTTGTTTTTGGGACGAGGTCTTTACATGGTGGTTTGATGCGCCATTCTGCAGAGTTTCTATTAAAACATAAGGAGGTTCCTTGGTTCCTGGTACCATATTTCCATCAGCTAGCTCTCGCTCACAGACTTTAGCCTGCCTTCTTAACTGGTTATTTCTCTCTCCCATATTATAGGAAGACAGTACTGGCCGGATAAATGTAGTTGGAGCCAGATTTGCCGAGGGTTTTTATGATAATCTAAAAGAGTTTGTGTTTGTCGAGCCAGCGAGTGAACTCATCAAAAAGTTTGTTAAACCCGAAGGCTTCGTCAAGGTTCTTCATTCCTTCCTTATCTTTGCTTTCTATAGTTTTCTCAGGTTGAAGCAACGGGGCTATGTTTTTTCTGTAGATTCTTGAACACAATTGCTTTGAGCGTGTTCATGAGCTTGGTAAGCCATTGACTATTGTTGGTGAGGTAAATCAAAATCCATATTCCTTTTTTGGGTTCTTCTTTACTATTTCGTCATGATTCACTTGTAAGTTACTGGATTAAGATTTCAGTTTTGCGGAGGATAGCTTTTCAATGTTTCTCTCTGTATTTTATAGGCTGTCAAATACAGCAATGGAGCTCTCGTGATCAAAAGACCCACAGATGGATCTTTTATGTTCTTCGATGGATATAGTTCTGTTGATAAAATGATTTCCCTTTTGGAATCACAATCTCAGTACGTAAAAAAACTCTTTTCACTTGCTATTATGTTACTTATGAGTTTAAGACTATATGAATTAAAATTGGTAACATGTTTGCTATTGTTTTGCAGGGCTCTAGTATATTTCTCCATAGCCTTAACAGCTGTTGGGACACTTGTATATGCCTCGTACGTGATGCCTTTAATAAAAAAGTCTTGGTTCCTAGATAAATCAGACACCACAGCCGGCCAGAGAGCAGAAACGGAGACCAAGCACAACTCGATGGGCAAGGCTCAGAGCAATTATGCTTTTGGGCTCTGTTTTACCTGTATGATCTTAATTTTGTTATTGGACACAAAATAAAGCTGCTTTACCTTCCAGTGTTATGGCGGAAATGTTTCTGTATCAAATGTATTTCTATATAATCTAATAATGTCTACTTTATTTGCTATCAAATTCAGTTTTAGGCTTTTAACGAGACAATTGTTCTTGTTTGTTGTGAGCATCTCTGTTTATAAGATTACATTCGGTTTTTAACCAATTGTCTTTTGATTTTTTGTGAAGCTGCTATAGTTGTTTGTCACCTTTGTGCTAGCTACATTTTCAGATGCAGCAAATTTCAATTACAAGCAAACAGGCTTTATGATGATAGTCAAATCAACGTTTTCTGCTTTGAACAACTTGGGATTAAGTCAAAGAACAGACATCTCGAGTATTAGAGTTATCTTCTCCAGTGAATCTATATGTCTCCAGATTCAGAAAGAGCTTGTACCCGCAGCTTCTCCGTATCCTCTCTGAAAATTATGAAGCATATAAGAAAGAAACATATGCAGAGGTAGCTTTCGAGTGTTGAGGGCCTCGGTCCCCTTATCCCCAACAAACTCAACTAACATCCCAAAATCAGTCCAATGATCCAACTCTGCTACTATCCCCGATCTCGCAAAGGCATGTCTGGCCGAGAAACCTCTATGAAATTAGAAAGCCTATGCAGGTTCCAGGGCAGTTCCTGTGTAGACTCGGTGCACCAGAATCCCTTTTGTTTCAATGTAGAGAGTAACTGTAGCTCCTAATATTTGATGCTACGATTAATTAGGTGTCTTTTGAGCTGAAGTCAGGGAGCTGTTGGAGGAAAGGAAGACAAGAGAGTGGAATTATAAATCCATCACAATTCACAAAGAAGCATGTTGGCTTCATGATCAGATCAAATGCAGATGCTGAAAGTGTGTGATCTCACACTCTCAAACTAAGGACACAGAGCCATTAAGACTAACCTCTCATGGACAGTTATGTTCCACATTGTTTCTCAACCATGAACCTTTCCTAGAAAGAACTCATTACGAACTGGCAGAATTGGATCCGAGTAGAAACGATGTTGAAATCAAAGGCTAGGATGTCGTTTGAAATTCGGCTATTTCTATGCTTCAGTTCAAATGATGTCGGAAGTCCTTGGTCAAGTAACTTTATTTTCTCGTGCATGTTCTCTCCTAAATCGCTTATTTGGCGTATTTTTGTGTTGTGGGATGTAGAAAATAATTCCGTCTCGTCGACAATTCCAAGACGTTGTGCAATAAAGAGGAGGGAAACGGATGTATATATTTGAAAAAGGAGGTGTGTCAAAAGGATATAGGCCCGATTGTAAAATAAACGGAAAAACAATCCTAACACACACAAACAATCAAACATACAATCAGGGCATAGTCCCGTAGCTACAGTCTTTGTTCCAAAAGTGCCAATGCCAAGTGTCACTTGAATCTGGCAGGGGAAATCGTGAGACCATCTGGGTTTTGGAGGCTTTAACTTCAAGAAGACAAAAAGAAGATGGTCTTCAAGTAGTGATGGTTATACCACAACCGACCTTGCACTCCCACCTCTTAGGATCCAGCTGGTTACATGTAGTTAAGAGTTTGAAGCAGTCATTATCGAAAGTCCAGCAGCCTAATACCCGCATAAAAATTGGCTGCAGACCTGTTGTAGATAGCTATATAGAACATGAAATCAAATAAGTCACTTTGTACCTCTGTTGACAGAATAAAATTGAGTCCTTCAACCCATCGTTCTTCAAGGTGAGTGGCCAAAACACCATTGGAATCGATATTTGCTAACACCCGACCCTGAATCAAATCCAACCAAGTTAATTAAAGATTTTGTTCCTCGTTTCAAAACCAATGGGACAGGAACGGCCATGTACCCGTCTCACAGAGTAGACACACCCAACTCTAGCTCGAACATCTCTTGACATGTAGTTGTACGTGAGATAAGTCACAAACATAACCTGTTATAAAAAGTTATTGTTATCATAACTTAGCGTCTTAACTCTATGAATTACTGGGAACTTTAGGTTACCTTCTCTGAAATCTTCTGAAAGTAACTCATTATAGCAGATTTGGTAAACACTTGTGCAACAGCAATCTGGCGATAAAAGAAAGTCTCATAAGTTTTTACAGAAATGAATATTAGTGAAATCTGAAAATTTACCATTTTAGGCTTGTTAGTCTCAGACTCATATCGAGCATATCGAGCAGCAAAACCAACATCGTTATTCACATCATCATTCCCATTCCAGGAAACCTCACCATGCAAGGACAGTTCCGGTGTCACATTCTATAAAACAGATTATAAAATTTAGTGAACATCTAACTACAAAACTATTAATAGTTTTACATAGAAATTTAAAAGTAAAGCATTAGCAAAGATAATTTACCTTGCTACAACTAGCTTTGAAAGGGACATCGCTTCCAGCTTGAACTTGGGTTTTGTAGCCTGCCCTCTACAGAAATCGAAGACTTGATTGCTAAACCATATCTCACAAAAAGCATATAGAATTCAGAAAACTACTCACCTTGTAGTCAAAGCTGAACAGAGACGAACACAATGTTTGGTTATTCATGATCTGACATAGAGACGAACACAATGTTTGGTTATGCATAGAAAGTGAATATCATGAAGCTACATCAGTGAGTAAATACTATAGTTTCAGTTGCAGCACTTTTACCTGACTATACATTGTCAACCTATCTGTGTAATCGTATTTCATTCTTGCAAGTAGATTACCATCTAACATGCTGTTTCCAATTACCATCAACTGTTTAGAAATTTGTCAATGTTAGAACTTGTAGTTAGCAATCAAATAAAAACACATCATAAAAACAACTTACACTTGGATTAGTGAAATTTACACACAATTCATAACCACCACGTAAATATTCGCTTGTTAGAGATGACTGAGAACGAGGATAAATCACTGCTGGTTCCGTCAAAAGGCTGGTTACAGCGTCAAACACAAGCATGGTAAAGAACAGACATAAGAAAGAATTCACTACTAATAAACATCCAACTTTTACTAACCTAAACCTGTGATTGGCACCAAATCGCTTGTTCAATTTCGTATCGTCAAAGCGAAATGGCTCACTCAATTCTTTGTGCAAAGACACTGCAAATCGAAATCAAATCAGTTAAGAAAGTCCAAAATGTGAAGGCTACACACACTACACATACCAACACCTGATATTAATATAATTCAAACCATCAAGAAAGTCCACCCAATTCACACAATGTGATTAGCCATTAACAAACAAAAACTAATACTGATAGCTAAAGTTAATCCATCACAAACAATTAGCCTTGAACACTCAACTGTAAGCTTCATGGTGGATTACTTGATAGGGAATATGAAACCGAATCGGCTTGTCATCCAAACTCTCATCAGCCATCGCTGCACAACTATAAACAATTTTCAGTAGTGTCACAAGCAATTGGTTGATTGGAGAAGCTGACGAAGGAGCAGAGAGCAATTACACCTCCTACAGATTTCAGGGGAAGAACAATTTCGCGGATTCAAAACAAAGAGAGAGGGAGAGCTTCTGCGTAAAGCTTAATTCGTTGAGAATGGCGGAAGAACCAGAGAAGATGTCTTCTTCAGCGACATTCGTTAACGATCAAGCCGGCCGCAGATGCTGTGATTAAACCTCGAATCGATTTTTGATTTGCGTCGGAGAGATGTTCCTTTCTATGTGATCAGGTGGGTGGACGAAGACTGCTGGGCTGTGGGCTTCGTTGATTTCATATTGGGCTTTGTTCGTGAGAGATTAGGCCCATTTTTTAATAGTCAGCTTGATTTGCTGTCTTTAGTATTTTACAAAAATTGGTGACTGGTCAGCTCGATTCTACATTATTCATCGAATGTTTATGAATCTATACGAATGAACATTGAGAGAGAGTTTGTTATGAATTCATTCCACATTGATATTAAAATCAATCTATGCACATTTTACATACGATAGATTGATTCTTAAGTTAACCAATAATAGAATAATCAATTTCTACCTTCCTTCCATTGCACTAGAAAAAATAGTTAGCTATTTTGGGATGGAGTCATGTGACAGTAGCATATTTTTAATGTCGAATGATAACATGTTTACAAAGTTAATAGTCTACTTTTATTATTATGGCAAGTATGTGAATGTGTTCCTAATTATTCGTAAATATTTTTAAATTATATTAGGTTAAACTACCTGTGGTAATTTAATCAAACTGTATAAGAAACTCCATCAAACAACTTTATACAAAAGACGACAATTATGTTCCAAATTAGACAACCATTCTTAAGAATATGCAAATAGCTCTTGTTCTGCATTTGAAAAGTTTTTTTATTCGAAACTGAAAAAAATTTGGAAACTTATGTTTGTTTAATTTATGCGGTTTTAATTACGATTAAAATTTTCTAACATATATAACTATATTAATATTAGACTTATGTTTGAAATGTGAGTGTTTACGTCTGACGTGAACCAATTAATTAAGAATGCCAATTCAAACATCAACACTATGCTGCGACTGGATCCAAAAACAACCAGATACGATGGTGGCTCTTGCTTTTTACAAACTGTTGTTTGTCTTGAGATTTTCTCCTCCAATTTTTTTTTTATGCAACTCGACGAGATTGATAGGACCAGGATGAAGGATAACTTGTCCTTCAACGATGAGACTGGCTATTTATAAAACTCACTATACATAGCAATAGTTTGTGACAATGGCCAAAATCAACATTGATGAGTCTAATGGCGATCAAAAAACAAATGTGATTAGGAGGTGATCGATCTTGATCGTTTAATCTTTTTTGAGAGTAGGAACTTTTTAGTATAGGATATCGCACCACCGGTAAAACTAAAATCAATGCGATTACTCATTAGACCATGATGAAGAGCAAACAAACAAATATATGGTTTTTATCATTTCCATGTGTCTTCTGATGATTCAACAATATGTCAATATGGTCGGAACGTGAAATGAGCAAACTGATTCTTAGACAGCAATTGGAAACGATTGGTAAGAAGATCAAAATGTTTCTTTGGTCTCGACGTTATATCATTCTTTCTGCTCATCAAATATCTGACAACTTGTGATACACGTCAAGTATCTCCCAACTGTGACTAACTTCTTCTTTTTTGTTTTTTTTTTCTTGATAAAAATTAAACAACAATTTTTTTCTTTTGAGGATAGAAGCATCAATGCCTCATTTTATATACTTAGCCGCAAATTCTAATCTGCAAAGAGATAGGAAAAGCATCGTCCAACCCCAATCCATCCTAATGTAGTTCTAACTTCTATATATTAGAGCTTTTTAGAGTTTGATTTGAATATAATTTACATGAAAATTAACAAAAACATTAAAAACAGAATACTAAAACCAAAAAATGAATTTTAAAAAAAAATATGAACGTTTTAAAAAAAATCATATAAGAAATTTAAAAGTCCACAAGATATTAAGCTTAAAGTTTTTTTTTTTTTGTCAACTACAATTATGATTTTAACTCATTAACTAGAGATTAATGACCGATTGTAAAAGCATCAATTTTGTTTAAACTCAGTTTTTTTTATCTTTAGCCTTTCCAGTTCCCAATATATTGATTGACAGATATGGATATTATTGTACAGTTCTTAAAATTTAAACACAGTAAAACTGGCAGAAATTTTACTGTATTAGACTATTTTAGTACTTCAGTAGTTGTAGATCCTGCATCAAAAAAAAAAAAAAAAAACATAGAAATATTGACCCAAAACAAAGGAAAAATATGAAACTGTTATAAATTGGATAATTATTATTATGATTATCCATATTTCTACTTAACCCTTAAGTCTCTTTGCCCCCAAGTAACTTGGCCTCCAAGCCACATCTTCTCCAAGTAAACGTCTCTATAAATATGTGTTGCTTTGTTGTAATAATGGGTGAGAAAGAGAATCGTTTCTATTCACGTCTCCTCTCTCTCTTACATGTTTTCTCTTCTTTTCATATGCAATTATTTGTTATATATAGTTATACAAATATATACATATATATATACGTTATGATTTATAACACGTTATCAGCACGATGTCTTTACCGCTGAAGCATTTACGAGGTAAGTAAAAATTTATATTATTTAAATTTATTTATGTTTATAGAACATAATTATTTTAGACATCGTGAGACTATGACTTTTTCCGGTTTGATCGTTATAAATGGTAGGCTCTGCCTTCTTTACGATCAAATAAAAAGCTATGTCTTTTCCGGATAGATCGTAATATATAGTAGGCTATGCCCCTTTACGATCAAATAAATGGCTATGTTTTTTCCGGATCGATCGTCATATGGTAGGTTTTACCTTCCTAACGATCAAATAAAAATTTATATTTTTTCCGGATTGATCGATATATATGGTAGGCTCTGCCTCCTTCTCTACGATCAAACGAAAGCTATGCCTATTGAATTCTTAATGGAAGGCGATGCCTCATGAATTCTTATATGAAAAGGCTATAGTCCATAAATTATTATTTTGTACATTTATGTGTTTAATTATTTTTATTTATTTTATTCGTAAAGAATAAATATATGTGTTATATGAGATTTAAAGACATTGAAATATGTCTTTAAAATCAAAAATATATTTCTCTTATGAGAATATATAAAGCACGTGTCAAAATATTTTTAGACAGTGCAAAATAATTGGAAGGTCTAGATGAGCTAGTCTCTCGACTTCCAAATGCATCAGATTCATAATAATCGATGCTTTGTGTACTCCAAAGTCTCAAAGAAACTCGTGTAAGTTTCTAAAATATTTTTCTTTATAATTATTATATTGAGACTATAAATTCATGTGGTGTCAAATATTTGACCACAATGGAGACACACATATGTATGATTATATCATGCAAAAATAAAGATGGTAACATTTAATTTATAATGAATATTTATATAATATAGAGTCGATGGTTGTATACCTCCTCCTTCATTCTGTGGTAGACTATGCCTCCAGAATCATATGATTTTTGGCCAAATCACCATTTTTTTAAAGCTCAATATATATGCTGGTTGATTTTTTCATAATCCCCAAACTAATCCCCGAGTATAACCGATCTAAAAATAAAGTTCGGTCCAAGATAAATAGGCTTGAAAAGCCATCATCTTGGGAGGGGTTATTACGAGTCCCACATTTTTTTTAAGGATCTAAGAATAAATACATGATCCATATTGGATATGTTATTGATCCTAAAGTGGGATTCAGTTCGAGATGAATGAACTCGAAGAGTTATCATCTCGAGGGGGAGAATTAAAAGAATCCCACATCGATAATAAGTCGATAAATTTTGGTGAATTTGACACCCCAGAGCTAGATAACTCTGGTGAAGTTATATCCTAAAATTTATCACTTTGTGATAAAGTAGAACATCAAAACATGATGTTCACTCTCAAAAAGAGCTTTAAGAGAATCGTTCATAGCGCAAATCCAAGAGATTGCAAAACGATTCATGGTGATTTAATCTCCATGTTTTTACATGGAGCATGCAGTTTTGCATGTATTAATAATTATATATACGGCCAACGATTTATAAGAAATATTTCTCCCATGTTTTATATACATGATTGGAGATCAAATATTTCTTATTTTGAATTTTATGGGTGTGAGATATATGTTATAAATGCTCCTTTGCACCGCATAAAAATATCATCCAAAAAGGATGAAATATATAGATGCAGGAGATGAATCTCTGCTCTACAAATACTGAGCCATCTTATGAGAGATGTGCCTATTGCAAGATTTGCAAATCATCATGTTGATGATAAAATTCTCCATCATGGGAGAACCACTGAATTGTTTAGATCTTTGAACAAATGAATATAATAAATATGAACTTTAGAGTTCAAAAGTTCAAAAGAATCACTATTCAGAGTATATTGCAAATCAAATGCAAAAAGCTGATGGATGAGATTTCATAAAATTATTGATCCTCGTATAAATGCATATGAACTTAAAGTTCATAAAAAATCTCTTGTCCCAGCTAAAAATGCTCTACAAAAATATGTCTCTGGCGGATGACATATTATTGTCTATAACACGTTAAAAAACGTGATAGACAACTTTGGTTCCAAATATAAAGAAAATCCTCGAAAAAAAAAGAGAGCATATTATTACTAAAAAGAGGATTACACTTTTAAAAGAGGAGCATATAGACTTCTAAAGAGGAGCATAGAGACTCCTCGACAGTAGCAAAGAGACTTCTAAAGAGAAGTAAAAAGACCGATTGGCATGGTTAAAGACAAAATCAGGTACCTGAATAAAATCATTTACAATGATTAAGAGATCTCGATTAACCATGTCATTACGGCAAATATGGAACCAAAGATAACATAATGTCGACAATAAAAATGATGTAGCGCGCAAATAAAATTAATGAGGATCATAAATCTCTGCTCTGTGAGCGTAAAGAGATATATATTGGCCAATAAACAAAGACGCAGCCAAGTCTATATTAATCTCGTGTAAGAAACGAGTAATTCCTGGACACATGGTCCAAGCATCAAAAGAGTATTATGATACTTAAGACAAAAAGGTGTGTCGCACCGGGTTTTGTCGAAATCACTCGATACTGAGTTGATATTATAAATGACTTGAATTGCGCCTTATGGAATGTCTGTAGGACTTAATCCCTGAAAGTGATATCATAATTATATTCCCGGGAACTTATAAGC